ATTCGGTAGTCAATGTCATACTGACAGGGAAAGCTGCCGAGTACTACTATCAAGCGGTGCGTAATATCGATCGAACCGACTTTCTCAGCATCGTTGACACAATCCGAAGTCGATTCGAGACCCAAGATAGGAGCCTCGAGCTCCTCTCGGAGCTGAGGGCATTGTCATTTAGCTCTGTAGCCAGAACAATGGAAGGAAAGTCGAGAATTGAGATCCTCGAGGAGCTCATCGACAGGATCGACAAACTGGCGAGGACGCAGCCAAATGAGGGGACCAATGAGCGAAAGGTCGGTTATCTATGTACGGCGGTACAGAGGGTACCAGAGGCAAAGATGACTCTACATCAACCGCCTGAGGACTACGAGACGCTGTGCTCGAGGCTGAGGTCCAGCTTCAACATCGAAGCCAGGATGCCAAATCAGACTCACCTCCAATCTCACGAAGGCCCTCACCAACAGCACTGGGTGGACCGCACGTACAATGGCAAAGGAAGAGAGGCAAGGTATGGCAACCGCCAGGGGGGAGGAACAGACTCCTCAGGGGGGCGCTGGTCCAACACCAACCGAGCACCGCGGAAAGGGAAGTGCTTTATATGCAAAAAGGAGGGTTGTTGGTCAAGCAACCACTCTGATGAGGAACGCGCCAAGTCGTACGACCAATACAGAAAGGCAAAGGGCACACAAGGCAAGACGGGCCATGATCGATTCAACCAATTCCTGGTGGTCTACGAGGACCATCCAACGAACGCAATCGAGTCGTCTGAGAGCGAGGAAGATCTTACCCCGTACACTCAAGACCTCGACTTCGACGAAGTTAACGATGTCACCCATTCTTTCTTCGCCCCGTCAACCTCAGGAGGATATACAATGCTGAACGAACAGAGAGCGGTACAAGCCCTAAATGAGCAGGCTTTCCTCCATGGTTGGCAAGGGAAGGTCCCTCAGCCAACGACAACGCTCAGCAGCACGGGGGACACGAATGCTAATACCGCAGCCATGGCTCGCACTAAGGTCAAAGGGCCTGGGGAGGAAAAGAGAACGATGGGCTTACAAGCACGCAATTTATACCCACCAGGAGGGTTCTACGGTAATCCAGTGCAAGCATTCCATGCCAGCGAAAGGTATGGCTCGGAAACCTTCCACGGGATTATTCCAGATACCGGGGCATCACAATGGTCGACGGGGGGCAAGGGACAATTCCACGCACTCCAAAAGATCTCACCAGTGACCCTCAACACTACAAACGCGGGCATTGCGAGGATCAGTTTCGGCCCAGGGGAAGAGATAAGTGCCTTAGGTACTGTGGATGTAAATACACGATTCGGAACGATGATTTTCCACATTCTACCCGTCAATACACCATTCCTCCTATGCCTGAACGACATGGATAAATTGGGCATTGTGTTTGACAACACAAGGAATAGAATGTCCAATGGAAAGCACTCTGAGCTCGTCGATCGACGATGGGGGCACGCGTTTATGAAGCTTGAACCAGACGTCAAGTCCATCAATTACTTGACGGAAAGTGAACTCAAGCGACTACATCGACGATTCGGCCATCCGTCGGCGACGAGACTATACAATCTCCTCAAACATTCAGGGAACGATGTGGAAATAGGGGCTCTAGAGCAATTGACGATGGTGTGCCACCAGTGCCAAATGAACGCCCAGAGCCCGCGCAGATTCAAGTTCAAATTACACGACGACCTCAACTTCAATTGGGAAATCGTCGTTGATATCTTCTATTTGAACAGTCGACCAGTACTCCATATAATCGATGAAGCCACATCATTCCAAGGAGGCCAATTCCTTCGAGATATACAAGCCAAGACCGTGTGGGCAACGCTGAAGCGCTGTTGGATCGATACATACCAAGGTCCACCAGACGGCATCAGAACCGATGCCGGCACCAGCTTCAAGTCGGCGGAATTCAGGGAGAATGCCACTTCGTACGGCATCCAACTGAAAGTCGTCCCTGTCGAAGCGCACCACAGTATTGGCAAGGTAGAAAGATCACACCAGCAGTTGAAAAGAGCTTTCAAGATCATCCAGGAAGAGAGCCCTAGTTCAACGGACGAAGAGTGCCTCCAGACGGCACTCAAGTGCTGCAATGATACCATGGGACCCAAGGGGCTCGTTCCGACGCTGCTTGTGTTCGGAGCATACCCACGAACGACGACGGCCTCACCGCCGTCACCAGATGTGACCCAGAGGGCGCGAGCAATCGAGAAAGCAATGAAGACTCTCCGCGAGGCAAATGCTAGAAGGCAAGTCAACGAAGCCATTGCTACGCGCAATGGGCCCGACGTGAGCCTCAACCTCGACATGCCCCTGAATTCGGAGGTACGGGTATGGAGGGAAACCACAAAGCAATGGACAGGCCCATACAAGTTAGTCTCAATTGACGAACGATCTTGTGTCGTCGCGAGAGATCGAGACCAACCACTGGAGGTGTCGATCACTGCGGTACGACCGTACCACGTCGACCCCAGCGGAGTGATTTCCAACCCACAAGAAGAAGAAGAGCCAGGGGAACCACCTCAACAAAGCGATGAGGGACAACCAAGCGATGAGGGGCAGGAAACCATCCTCGACGAGATCATCGTCGCAGCACCCTCAGACGATGAGGCAGAAGAAGAACCAGTACCCCCACCGCAAGCAAGACGCCGAGGAAGACCCCGAAAAGCACCTCAACGGCAATTCATGTCTGACACCAAGGCTACTGCTGTCTTCTACACGGCCAAGGAGAAAGCAGACTTCGCGATGGCGGTCAAGCTAAGGGAACAAGGGATAATCACAACTGCAGGACGACCGTACGAAGGCTCCGACCTCATCGAAGCCGACACACTGCGCGATCGAGGGGTCTACAGATTCATCACCTACGACCCAGAGAAGCACGCGAACCTCCGCATCTTCAAGTCGCGAATGGTCCGCGAGATCAAAGGAAAGGGGACAAATCAGCCGTACGAGAAATCAAGGCATGTGATACAAGGCTACGGCGACGTCGAGAAGGCGGCACTGCTCACGCAGTCGCCGACAGTTCAGCGCTGCAGCCAACGACTAATGATGGCATTGATGGCATCACTACGGCAAAGAGGATACCGGATCTGGAGTCGTGATATCACCCAGGCATACACCCAATCGGCGACAAGGCTCACGAGGAAGATATTGGCTTACCTACCAAGGGAGATGGCAAGCAAATACCCGGACGACACGATTATCGAAGTGCTGAAGCCACTCTACGGCCTCGCAGAGTCAGGCACTCACTGGTGGGCAACATACCACGATTTCCACATCGACAAGCTCTCGATGATTACATCGACGTACGATCCTTGCCTCCTAGTTTCCGCGCATGCAGACGATCCATTTGGAATCGTCGGAATGCAGACCGACGACACATTAGGGCTTTCTGATGCGGCCTTCATGGAGAAGGAGGACAAGGAGCTGGAGAAGGCAAAGTTTACCGCCAAGCCAAAAGAGATCCTCACAGAGGACACACCACTTGCGTTCAACGGCGGGATCCTCACGATCGAGGGCGAGAATGTCGTCTTCCGACAGAAGGGGCAAGGCGAGAAGATCACCCTCATCGACCCAAGGGCAACCGACTGCCAGAAGCGGTACAAAGCAGAGCTCGCACGAGGAGCTTACATCGCAAGCATCTGTCAGCCAGAGGCCACTTTCGACTGCGCGAGGGCAGCGCAGGCCACTTCGCCGACGGAACGCGACTTCGACGCCCTCAACCGACGGCTACAGTGGCAGCAAGTGAACCTCGATAGGGGGCTCGTGTACCAACCCATCGACCTGAGGGAGGCGAAGCTCTACGTGTTCGTCGACGGCTCATTCGCGAATAATGACGACCTCACATCGCAATTGGGATATGTGATAATCCTTGCCAACGAGGCAATGGGAGAGGAGAACTTCACGATCCGCGGTAATGTCATCCACTACTCGTCGACGAAGAGCAAAAGGGTCACACGAAGTGTACTCGCCTCAGAGGTCTACGGCATGGTTAACGGCGTCGACATCGCACACGCGATCTCAACGACGCTGAAGAGGATTACCGATCGACTTGACATCCCCACGATACCGACAATCGTCTGTACCGATTCGTACTCGCTGTATGAGTGCCTCGTCAAACTGGGCACCACGAAGGAGAAGAGGCTGATGATAGACATCATGGCCCTCCGGCAATCGTATGAGCGCCGCGAGATCCTCGAGATCCGTTGGATCAACGGGGACGATAATCTGGCGGATGCTTTCACGAAGGCAACGCCCAACAAGGGGCTCGAGCACTTCGTCGGCGAAGGAAGGGCGACGATACGGATGGAGGGATGGGTAACCCGCAAGGAGCAGAAGAAGGAGGAAAAGGGGGCAGCCTCGGCGAAGGAGCCCGAGATCGAATTACACTTCCAACCGCCGTAGTTGGGCGATGAAAGAGAGAGATAGTCAGTGTCGGATTGGAAGTCCAATTCGACCTCGAGGCAAGGGGCCCGCGCAGGGGCCACTTACAGACCATACTTACGAGATCTACGGTCTACCCAACCTCCGGTTAGAACCTCCTTTTTACACCTTACGCAGAAGTTAAATATATATAGATTTTGACCTCTTCGTCACCCACGGTTCGAACCATCCCTGTGATAGGAATACCAACAGCCAGATCAACAACCATTCTTTGAGAATTTGATTGAGGGGATACTCGAAAACTCAGGCTCCGGATTCACAAACTGTGAGACGGTGCTACGTGTTTTGAAGGAATGCTGGAAGGACCAGGACCACTACGGTACGGACAACAGTGTCCCTAGAAATGCAATGTCACGGCTGGGGATTTGTGTCCTTTTGATTTGAGCCATGGCCCATCAGAGACTCCTGCTTCCTATTACAAAATGTGACGGTGGCCAAGGTTATCTTAAGACATAAGTAATCCCCAATTTAGGGGAAAATAGTGTGTCAACTATTCAAACCATTGGAAAGACCCAAGAGATGCTGAAAGACACAAGCAAATCCCCACTGCAGGCTGCGAATTATTTCGATACGACTTCATCCGTCTAAGGTAAGATAATCTCATCACCCGGAACCCCTATCCTAGTCCAGCTGAATTTTTCCCACTGAACGATGAACTAGAACTAATTTCAACATGCTTGAGTATTACCGCTCTGGTTTCAATCGTCAAGCACTTGGACTTTCAGCGCCAGAGCACTAGGGTCTGAGGCTGTTTTGAAGGCCTTCTCACCATCTTCGAGGTTGAATCGGTGGGTGACTAATGGCTTAAGATCAATGACTCCCTCAGCAACAAGCCCAATGGCCCGAGGGTAGATATCTCGATAGCGAAACTGGAACCGTAACTCGATTTCCTTGCCGGCCATGTACATGATGGGAATCGTGGCAAAGTCTTTACCACAGCCGATAACAAAGACTATGCCTCCGAATCGGCAAGACTACAAATTTTGATTAGCTTGGATATCCCTGCCCGACATACAATTCGTGTAGATAACTTACGTATATACCGGTGACCACACTTGATTCAACACCAGTGCATTCAAGCACTGTTTTGGCTTCTTGACCAAGAGCCCTTTTGATGTCCTCGGCTATTGCCTGCGGCTCCTTTCCAGGGACGATGAGCACAGTTCGCACTCTGGGAACAGCCCTCTTTGCCATGTTTAGTCTAGTCTGATTGATGTCTGTAATGACAATTGGATTTGCACCTGCCGCATTAGCAGCCAGCAAAGTGGCAATACCGATAGGGCCAGAACCGCAAATGACCACGGAATCACCCAAGCGAACGCCGGATCGCTCGAGCCCCGTCAGAGCCACTGACAGCGGCTCGAGAAGAGAGCCCTCTTCATACGACATCTCATCAGGAATCTTATGAAGCCAGTCTTCTGGGTGCACGTGGTAACGCGTAAGGGTTCCGTGGTATGGGGGCGTCGAATAGAAAACCACCTCTGGGCAGGCATTGTATCGGCCTGTTCGACAGAAGAAGCACGATGCCTTCATACAAGGGATGCCGCACTCGATGGCCACCCTGTCGCCAACTTTGAACTTTGTCACCTTGGGCCCTACGCCCACGATCACGCCTGCGCTCTCGTGACCTAGCCCGTTTTCACCCGTCACAACCATCTCTCCAATGTGACCTGCTTTCCAGAAGTGAACATCGGAGCCGCAGATGCCAGTTGCTCGCACGTGAACTAGGCACTCCCCTTCGCTTGGGATCGGAACATCGAGCTTCTTGAGAAAAAGATCATGCTCAGGGTTGGTATAGATTGCAAGGTTGTCGGGTTTTCGGCGAAGGATATCGGCTGCGTTCGATGCATCCATAGTAGGTATCAGTGGTTGATGAGTATTACTCCGAAGTGGATGGCAAAGAAGGCTAGTGAGTGTCAATGACGAAGTGAGGTGGGAGGGAGCCTCAACCTAATTGCGGCCAGCTTTTTATACAACAGGTACTGTAAGTACATATAATCTCACAAAAGGTAGGCAGGTCTGTTGAATGTCTATCTATCCTGGCTCAGGAGCTTCGGAATTCTTTACCCCCCGCTTACCCCCCTCCGAGCACATTGGTCACGTCTTCCACATCTGATCATCCAGTCTCAACAAATTGGCCCAAACACACCGTCTCCTCACAAGACACCAGAGACGGCGCCGTATCAAGTCACCGCTACCCCACGTTCGGCGCACTGTCACCCGGTTGGGTTTCCGCCACATTGTTGATTTGGAGGGAAACCCCCGCCCACTGCGACTCCCCACACGCGACCTATGGGAGACTCTTTCCTTGCCTTTTTTGTGATCACACCTCGTCATTGGGTATGAATACGAGACCTCGAGAGACCTCATGTTCTAATCAAGATCCAAACCTCTAGTCTCCGCTCCAGCTGGGCCGGTTCATGTCTGCGCATGTGGAGCGTTATACGACCACTTGACTTCAAGCCATCGCCATGTCTCTCAATGGAAAGATCGCAATAGTGACGGGAGGGGCTCGAGGAATCGGTGCTGGCATAGTCAAAGCTCTTGCCAAACAAGGTGCAAGTGTAAGTCCTGCTGTTGTTGCCTGTTACAGTTCGCCAGGTCGATCAATCGGAGATCTCTTGACTGGTTTATCCCTGACGGCCTCATCTTGACCGAGGCAACCCTTGATAATGAGTCTCTATGTTGATGCATTTCAGGTTGCATTCAATTATGTCTCTCCCTCCTCCGAAGCTGCTGCTCTCACATTGGTTGAGGAAGTCAAGGGGTTGGGGGTCCGAGTGGCGTGCGTACGCGTTGATATGGCGTCTCTCAAGGCTCCCTCTGCTCTTCTGAATGCCGCTCTTCAAGAATTCCAGACCGACAAGGTCGATATTTTGGTAAACAACGCGGGTGTTGGAGGAAATGTACCCCTCGAAGAAATCACGATCGAAGATTACGATCGGCTGATGACGGTTAACGTCAGAGCAGTCATCTTCATGACCCAAAGCGTCTTACCTCACATCAACCGCGGCGGTCGTATTGTCAACTTGTCTTCGATATCCGCCCGCGGCGGCTACTCAACTCAATCCGTATATGCCGCATCCAAAGCCGCCGTTGAGGGCCTCACACGGGTCTGGGCCACAGAGCTGGGCCACAAGTATGGGATAACGGTGAACTCAGTCAACCCCGGCCCTGTCGACACCGATATGTACCGTGCTGCTGGGCCTGTACATCTTGCGAGGATGGAAGAACAGAATAAGAAAGTTCCTGCCGAGCCCAGATGTGGCAAGGAGGAGGATGTGGCAGAAATCGTTGTTTTTTTGTGCGAAGAGAGATCGCGCTGGGTGACTGGAGACACCATCTGTGCGAACGGAGGCATGGTCTACACATAGAGAAGGGAAGTTGTATGTTGTATAACCTTCGCGGTATTGGCGAGTCTCCTGTGTTAACATCATGATGCGTCATTTCAGAAATAGAGATTTGGAGTGTGTTGCCATCCTTGATGCCCACGTGTGCTTCCGGTCTCACTGTAAAGATGTCTTTTGCCCTAAATCGAGCCAAACTGGAATTTTATCTATCTTGAGAGACTATTTAAGAATTACAGGGGTAGTCGTCGCGTCGCCTAAGAACAGGGGACCAAAGACTCGAAAATCTGGTCGGTACTACCTATGTGACTAGGTACATGATGAATGAAGCAAAGGTACTAAGTAAGTATGTTCTAACTATAATGAGATGTCAAATTTTTCTCGGAAATCAAGAGCATAAAGCTAATGTTCGCAAAAGTTCCATTCCGTCTTGAGCCAGCCAGCCTCCTTCTCTTTCATCCATGTTCTTTCAGCCATCAGCTCCTTTCTCAGCTCCTTGGCATCTTCCATTCCGATGGGCCACTTATCTCTACTGATAGCCTGCTCCCAATTTTCCCGAGCTTTCAACCATGCGTCTTCAGAGTTAGCCCACTCTTTCTGCGCCGTTTCCCACTGGATCACCCCCTGATCATCTGGTGCTGGGGCGAGAAGTGATTCGATCTTAGGCTCGGTGGGCCACCAGTGCTTCTGTTGAGGCGGCACGATTGATGTACTGATGACAGGAATGGCTGGGTCGACGAGGAAAAGGGCTACAATTTTTCTATGACCAGGCTTCGAGGGATCTGCCAACTTGAAGGGGGAGACTTGGTGTTGGAGGAGGTTAGGGAAGAACAGTGCCCGGCCGCCTCTCGTATGTACCGATCCAACATTCTGAAGCGTGTGGCCACGGGGCTCGATTGCGAATGCCTGCTTGATGCTCCACCAGTCGTACTGCTCATAGTCGAGGGAGGTTCGTGAGTCAGAATCGTCAAGTTCTTCTCTGTTGGCACATGTTCGGAAGTTGAGAGTACAATCGGTGATGTTGTCACAATCGTAGTAGAATAGTGCTGTGCTGACAATGTGCTCGTTCAGGAGACCTTCAGTATGCCACGAGCCACCTTCGTATGTGGGGTTTTCGGGCGTGAGATGGATATTGGCTAACTTGACAATGACCTGACAGCGGTCTTTGCCTCCAAAGAAGCCACTGCTTTTGATGTCGGCAGCAGTGAACTTGACGTAGTCTTTCGCCTCGGGTTCAGCGTCAGGAAGTAGAGGGCCATGCGTCTCTCTAAACCAGGCCTTGTCTCGAGCGTTGCGTTCTGGATCCTTTCGATTTCGCGGGGCTTCGTTCTCAGCAAGAGGACGTGCCTGCGCCCTGCATTCCCGGCGTCGACCGCAGATGTGCGGACAAGGGCACATTGGCTTCTGTACATTGGATGTCACGAGACGCTGCACCGCGAACTTATCCTCCCAGTTGTAGATGAGATCCCAAGCTGGCAAAGACTTTTCGATGAGCTGCTCGATGATTGGATAGAGGTGGGCCTGCTCTACAGGATGGAGGTTGTTGATGTAGCTTGCAATTTTGGCTTTTCCGTTGATTCGATTGAGGTCCACATCACAAGGCAGCCATTGAAACTCCCTACTCAACACCTTGTTTCTCGAAGTACTGCTCCAAGAAGTGTTGGAAGATAGTGTAGCCTCCACCTTTGTCGGCTGGCGTATTGTCGTACCCATGCCGCAGTGGTCAAGCGCGTCATGGACACCAATTGTGCGGTCATGAAGCATCTTAGAACTACCGTATACCAAGGGCCAGAGTGAGGGGTGGACCAGATCCAAGACTTGATCGTTACTGTTAGGGTGCCAGTCTTTGCAATCTGAAGGAATATCCTCAAGTGACTTGACGGCGTCTCGAATAGACATGACGAACTCGGGGGTCAAGATGCTGTCAGACTTGATAATCGCAGTGCAGTAATCGTAGACCGGCATCAGTCCTGTCTGTTCATATACTTCCGCTTTCTTGCGTAATTCACTGATGCACTTGAGGTCGTTAGCGCCGAAATACTGTTGTTGAAGATAGAGGCCAACTTACCGCATCGGCCATAGAAGGAGTGAAGTGAGCATGCTCGATGTACGACGCCCAGTCGATTTCCAAAGCCTCCAATTTCCACTTTGCAACAATACTGTCGTCTTTAACCTTGAGCCACCACTGAGGTTTATCAGACAATTCATTGACAACCCTCAGCATACAACATTCGCGGACGAGAAGCGTGACGGCCTCCCATTCACCCAAGAACAAGACCGGAAATCTCTCTTTCAGGCTGGGCATATGTCCAAGGTTAAGACCGGCTCCAGGACGTTTGACGACCAATTGTTCCAGGGTCGGTTGGAAACTTTTAGCAATCTTGACTGGACTTCATGTCTCTCGAGGCTCACCTTGAATTCGCGGTGGTGGTATCTCCACACCGCCTGTTTGATGATGAGGTTGAGGTACCCAAATGAAAAGGCATTGAAATCAAGCTCGGTGTTCCTTTCAATCCAATATTTCGCATCGGAAACGTCGGGGTCTTTCGGGCCAGCCCAACTGTCGAAGGCTTCTTGTTGCTCGTCAGTCAACTTGACACGCTTGTGCTCATGCTTCATGAATTCCTCCTCGTCAGATGTGAGAGGCATGGGGTCTCTGAAGGCTTGATTGGCCATAGCGCAGACTGGTACGTGGAAGGATGAACGATGTAGTAATGGCGAGAATGGCTCGATGAGATATTATTACTGTTGCACAGTCCACAGATAAATGGTTATATATCCAAGTGTTGGCTGCTTGTGAGCCCCTGAAATGCTGTATCGCGAAAGACTTAGGCAGAAGTGTGGGTTCACTCAATCAAAAAGTTCATTCCGGCAGGCAGCTTTGACGGAATCCCTTGCACAAAGACTGAACATCCCGAAACCCCACCGGCCATTCCAAAAATGGTTGCGGCGATCAAACTAGCGATAGGCTGTTGCCGAGCATTGACTCACATAATTCAGCTAGACAAGGATAAGGTGTTGGCCATTGCATCGAGAAACCATACGGATACGCATGTCGACGTTAGCTTCCACGGCTGCGACTAACAACAGTCAACTATTCTGGTGTCAGTATCACTCCTCGTGATGGACGAAGTACACAACCTCTGTTAAAATCATCGCAGTTGGCTCACAATAACTACCATTATGGGGTTCCAAAGCTGTGTAGAGTAGTTTATGGCTAAGACATCGATCTTCCGACCAATCACCCTCAAAGTCTGAACGATTCGTTTTATTCTAACTTTACCAACTGTTTTAGACCGAGACTGAGCCCTGCGATTCACATGTTGACCTTATGGCCCTTAGGTACGTTTTGCAACGGGAAGGCCGTTATGCATAAGGCTTCGGATATTCCCCTCGTGTTTTCTTCAGCAAAATATGCCAAAGAAAGAACTAAAAAAAAAGGACCGGGTGCTGTCGGGGTTACGGCCAATCCGAAAGATGTCTACCAAGCAATGACAACATCTTGAAATTTCGAAAATTTGATGTTTTTAGTGAAACTCCGTTTTATGAAACGTTGAATTTCCACCATCATAAATCAATTATTGCCCTTGTCCGTTAGTACGTACGTCTGTGAAAACTCAGCCCCTGTTATCCCTGCACAATCCGTGTCTATATGTAATCTCTTTCATTGAGCATGCGTTCAGGACTTTGGCCCCGACTCAATGTCTTCCTCTACTTCGAAGCGATGTAGAGTAGGCTTAGGCTCGCCTTGCTGACGCATGATGTAGTGCTTGAACCACCATGGAAACGCCTCGAACAGTTGATAAGACGCATGTCGCCTGGTAGAAATTGAGAAGACGCCATCCAGTTCTTCAAGAGAGCGTTGCTTTGTCTCTGGAAGGAACAGAAATATGAGAACCAAGCATACTACTCCAAAGGCAGAGTAAAGTGTGAAAACACCTTGGGGTTTGATTGCCTGGAGAAGTGGCGGAGATGTTTGTGCCACAACGATGGCCCAGAAGTTATTCGTTGCGACTGCCCAAGCCATGCCGACCTCACGATGTGATAACGGGAAGACCTCAGCCGAGTAGACAAACGCAACTGGTCCCTCTCCCGGACCATAAAATGCGGCAAATAGATAGATGAACAAGCAGATGACACCGAGGTGTGCGGGACTGCTCTGCGGAATGTAGAAGGCCATGCCTGCGGCTAACATAGCCCAGCACATGTTTGGAAAGGTGGCCAACAACAGCGCTCTGCGGCCCCAGCGATCGATGGTCCACAAGGCCGGTATCGCGAAAAGGAACATTGCCATGCCGTATCCCCATGAGGCCAAGAGAGCAATGGTATTACTTGCGCCTGCTTCCTCAAAGAGCGTCGACGAGTAAAAGGACATGAGATTGACTGCAGCCTGGCTGTTAGCGGAATGTCCTCGAACCTTGCGGGGTGTACTTGATCATATGTACCTCCACAGAACTGCTGAGCTGCCATAACGATGCCCGATGCTTGGGTCGCCCGACGGATCCTGGGGATGGTAAACAGTTCTAGACACCTGGCGAGAAAACTGCTCTTCCTAACCCCATCAGCCTCTATCAGTTCTTGTTCCTTCTCGAGCTGAGCGTTGACGAAGTAAAGGTCCCTAGCGGCGAGCAGATTACTGCCACGCAGTCTCAAGAGTGACTCGTAAGCTTGAATGAACCTGCGCTTCTTCAACAACCATCGAGGCGATTCGGGTGTGAAGTAGATTCCTAAGAGTAAAGGTACCGCAGGTATCATGGCAGAACCAACTTGGAGTCTCCATGCGATGTCCCCAAACCCGACCACAGCGAGATTCGCCAGGAAGCCTAGCATAATACCAAAAGCGCTGAAGAGTTGCCACGACATCACCAGAGCGCCACGTATATTAGGTGGTGAGTTTTCGGCCGAGAATACGGGCACGGTGACTTCTTTGAGTCCCATTCCTATGCCGAGAAGGACTCTGCAGACCAAGATCTGTGGCCACGTCTGGCAAAGTGCTTGGCCAACGGGCCCTAGAATGCTGAAGATGGCGCCCAGAAAGATTGCACCTCTTCTTCCCAACCGGTTGTTGACAGGATCGGAAAGCCAACAGGCGCTACGCATAGTAAGTGAGAGGTTCCATTGAGAATTAATCGAGGACTTACATGACACAAATAGCCATGTATGGTGCGCTGTTGATGGCACCGATGATCCAGGAGTTTCTTGCACATGTTCCAGCTGTGACGCAGGCCTCGCCTTTATCCGCGATGCCAAAGGCTTGCGGGAAAGACAAGTTCGCTCCGTTGGAACCCGTTTGATCCCAACCCTGGATTGCTGCGCTGACCGAGTTCATAAGAATGGTGAAATAGAGGGCTTTGGGATGCCTCCAGCGATGCTCGATTTCGTTTCTCAGAATGGTTTGGTCATCCTCAGTGAGCTCCGGTATGTCTTCGTAGGCTTTCGGGCTCTGTGCTGCCAACGCCCCCTTTTCGAAGTAGGCGATCTCATTTTGCAGCCCGAGGCCAATGGCGAAGAGTCTTGCATCGATCTTGAGTTGCTCTCGGGGAATGCCTTCAAGGGGGTTTCTTGGCCTGTGAGTCCAACGTGTTAGAAAAGGGGTAGATGGGGCTGGGCTTTCGGTGCTGGCTGACTCTCCAGTAGCCATCTGGCTTTCACTGCGGCGAGGATGGTCATGGTGACTGATTTCGACGGCGTTGCCCACTTCAAAGCCTCTCTTGGAACTTGTTCTGTCAGTTCGATGCTTGGCCAGGTATGGATATATGTTGGGACTTACATATCATCTTTTTCGGGGGGTAAAGTCGACATCTCGGTGGCCGATGATCTGCTTCAGGAATAAGGAATATTAGAGATGGGAGGATTGAAAACAACAGAACGTCTATCTTACTGACCGCGGGCTGTCAAACGAGTGGGATGGCAGAAGAACCCCCGTTAAGGAATACCTAAGGCTTATGAACCTTGAAAGACAAGCTTGGCGAAGGCTATTGTCGTATGTGGAACGCACAAGGTACCAAGCCTTCGAAAAAGGTTTGCCGTGATCCAAAAGATTGCCGATATTGGCTTAATTGATCGATGTGGCATGTCCTCCACGTCAAGCCCCTCGACGGGGCTCGGCGCAGAGGGCATATAAGGCTGCAGGTTAAGATGTCCCTGACAGCCGTGTTGAGACCCGTGGTGACAGCCATCAAGAATTGAGAGTCATAGAGAGTGTCTAAGGCCTTAGGATGGTTGCTTTCTACATCCCATCTCTAATTTCAATGGCATTCGCACTTGGCTCGGCCTTGAGAGGACCATCGGAACCCTGGGTACCTGTCACTTGTGTCTTGCGAACACTAAATAATTACCTCAATATCCTACTTGGGTATGCCGCATGAATATCTGCGGAGTAAGGAAAAACTTACAAAACACCACAAATGCAACCTCTATGGCCATTACCCTCCCTTTCGTTTCGCGATCTATCGATGGCCAGCATCGAGCATTCGAAGCCGTCTTCCAATGCCTACTTTCGTATATGTTCCTGGCTTGACTATATTTCGCCTATGGATCTAGACCACTTTGGTGATGAAAGATGATCGAAAATCTCGATTCGCATAGACATCAAGGGTGCTAGTACTCTTGATATGAAGGAAATCGACAGTTGGAGGGCCTGGGAAGCCGTTCCAAGGTCCTCATCAGCGGCCAACACAGCAGTGGCTTAAATGGGCCGAGCTTTCGACTCTACCTACCCTCCGATCCTGGCCTCGTCGTCGGCACAAAGCCAGACTCATTAAAGTAGTTGGTCGCTCGTTTGATGAATGAATTGCATCTGTCTTAAGATTGTATTAGACGTGACAGTAGAAAGTCTTAGGTGCTTAGTACTACCGGTTGTCAAGGAAAAACGAATGTGTTGCGAGAAGTTAGAACCGAGGCCCTCACAACGTTAGCTCTCGTCTCGACTTTCCTTCCCAGTCGACGTCGACAGGTGGGGACACTTCACCGCGACCCATCGACTCGCCCCGTCTCAAGGGCGCATAATATGTCAAGACATGCTTGACGCTTCACGCCAAAGATAAGTCAGGTAAAGAACTGCAATTAGGGAATTTAGATAAAAGGAACCATAAGCACGCATATTGGTATTTAATCCAACTCATCGTCTCCAATCAGTCAATTAGTGCACTTGTACAAGCTGCAACATCCAGTTTACGCCCGACAAACAACATCGATCGAAATCATGGTCCAGATCAAAGCTTTCGAGGTAGAAGAGTGGATGGATCGTCTGGAGACAACGCCAGGTGCTCTCAACATTGCCGAAACATGTTGCGAGTCTGTATCAATCAAGGAGTTGACAGAGTTGTCGATTGACAAGTCGGCCGCCGGTCCCCTTGACATCGCAACTCGACGAATGACCTACGGCGCGATTTACGGATCAGAGAAGACGCGCCAGCAGATCGCCAACTTATACGAAAACGACGTCTCGGGCTCACTTCCTAGTGACCAAGTCATCATTACGCAGGGAGCCATTGTCGCCAACTTCCTCACTCTGTACACGCTCGTCGGTGCGAATGACCATGTCATCTGTGTACACCCGACCTACCAACAGCTGTACGAAGTCCCCAAGAGCTTGGGCGCTGAAGTGAGCCTCTGGAAATTGAAGAGTGCAAATGGGTATGTCCCGGACGTCCGCGAGCTTCAAGAGCTGGTACGAGAGAATACCAAGGTAATGACATGTAGCAGCACGCTAGACGAGTAGTACCCATGGCTGACTCCAACGACTAGATGATCATCATCAACAATCCTAATAACCCGACTGGTGTTACCACGCCCAAGCACGTTCTCGAAGACATAGTCGCATTTGCCAAGTCGAGAAACATCATCGTCATGGCCGACGAGGTATATCGACCGCTCTTCCACAGCCTCCCTGCAGGAGAGAGCATGCCCCCGTCAATCCTGTCCCTAGGATACGAACGAACCATTTCTACTTCGAGCATGTCGAAAGCTTTCTCTCTTGCCGGTATCCGCCTGGGATGGATTGCTTCTAGAGATCCTGAGATCATCAAAGCCGTCAAGAGTGCGCGGAACTACACGACCATCAGCGTCTCGCAGCTCGACGACCAAGTGGCCGGCTATGCTCTCTCGGATGCGGTCAGACCAAATCTCATGCACCGAAATATCGAGCTTGCAAGGACGAACCTCCAGATTCTTGACGACTTTGTAAAGAGACACCAATCTATTTGCTCCTGGGTCAAGCCCACGGCTGGCACAACGGCAATGATTGGCTTCCAAGTAGGTGGTAAACCAGTTCAAGATGACGAGTTCTGCCTTGCAGTACTGGAAAAGACTGGAGTTCTGATTATGCCTGGGTCTACTTGTTTTGGCGAGGGCGTTGATTTCAAGGGCCAAATGCGCTTTGGTTATGTGTGTCGCACAGAAGTGCTGAAAGAAGGCTTGGAGAGACTGAGCGTTTACCTGGCGAAAAGTTTCCGCTGATTGCCTTGAAACGAGGGGCACTCTACACATACTTGGATCGATAAAGAACGTGACACGAGTGAGTTCTTCAATAAAAGCGAGTCGTTAATCTAACCCTAGTCGCTGTACAAACCTCAAACCATTATTCTTTTCACATGCCAATCGAGCACCGCCCGCTTATGAATCCTCCGTAGCTTCTTCCTCAAATTGTACCAAGACTGTTCCGGCTTTGCAGATATCCTGAGGATGGTGTCAGTGAAAGCGCCTGCAACTGTGAAATAATAGGACTACTCACGCCTTCCTTGTGCGCCAGCTTCTTTACCACGCCATTCTGGGGCGACCGGATAACTGTCTCCATCTTCATAGACTCGATACTATGTGTTCAAGTCAGCTACTGAAACCATCATGTGACAACGGTCTTGGGTTGGGTGGAACTCACACGACCAACGGAGCTCCCTTGGCCACCGTTTGCCCTTCCTCCACCTCGTTCTTCAGAATCTTGCAAGGCATCGGTGCCATGACGGACGCCGTGACCTCTTTCAAACCGAGGGCCCTCTCAAACCAGCTTGGCGGCAGAAGGGAAAGCTCGGTCTTGATGCCATGTTGGAACACGGCAATCTTGGTATCCTGCTCATTCTGCGTATTCTGCACGACTGTCGTCTCCAATCTTTCGTTGGGGAAGAACGTTGTGAGTGCGTTTGTTGACGAAGACTTTGATTGGAAATTGCTGATGAGGTTCTCGAAAACCTGGGATGACTGCTCTCCATTCCTTGTTACGCGCGCATCGAAGAGCTGATGGGACTTTTGTGTGATGCTAACTTCCACAACTTCTCCTTCCTGCTCGCTGTACAAGTCGAGCACCTTGAAGGCAAACTTGCGCTCGCTGAGGGTGCTGGCCTCACCAAAGCCCAAGCTACCTCCATGGGGAGCAGCGTGTGATAGTTGGGGAGACAATGAACTGAGAGCAGCCTGGACAAAGACCTCGTCTCGGATTAGCCGCGGCTTGAAGAGTTCATCTCTCCACTTATCGATAAAGCCCGTCTCGACATCGCCCTCGATGAATGCTGGAGACCGGCACAAACGTTTCAGAAACTCGATGTTGGTGCTGAGACCAACAACTTCGTACTCGCGGAGAGCCAGTTCCAGCCTGCGGATAGCAGTCTCTCTATCCTTGCCGCGAACAATCAACTTGGCAATCATGCCATCGTAGGCTTCCGAGACAGTGTCGCCCTGGATAAAGCCGGCGTCGATGCGGATGTCCTCGTTCGTCTTGGGCGTGGTGAGGTGAATCAGCTTGCCGGAATCCGGCATGAACCCCTTCTCCGGATTTTCGGCATAGATACGAGCCTCAATGGCTGCACCGTGCTGCTTGATGTTCTCCACGATCTCTTCCTGCGTCATAGGTAGCTTCTCTCCAGCGGCAACACGGAATTGCCATTCGACAAGGTCGGTGCCGGTGACCATCTCGCTGACAGGATGCTCGACTTGTAACCGGGTGTTCATCTCCATGAAGTAAAAGTCTCCGGTGTCCTTGTCCAGAATGAACTCAACAGTGCCAGCGCCAACGTAGTTAACAGCCAGAGCAGCTTTCCTGGCCTTCTCCCAAAGATCGAGACGAGTTTCCTCAATCAAGTCAGGCGCTGGAGACTCCTCAAGGATCTTTTGGTGTCGCCTCTGGACACTGCAATCACGCTCGCCTAAGGCAACGCAATTGCCCAGCTTATCCGCGAAGACTTGCACCTCAACATGACGAGGGCGCACAATATACTTCTCCACCAACATGACCTCTCCACCCTCGCCAAAGGAAGCGCGAGCCTCGGCACGAGCACTGCCAAGCTGGGCAGTAAACTCGTCCTCGGTCATGACGATGCGCATGCCCTTGCCGCCACCACCTTTGACGCTCTTTAGCAACACTGGGAATTTGATATTCTTCGCGTGTTCCAATAGTTGTGCCTCCCCTTGATCTGAACCATGGTATCCTGGAACGCAAGGCACGCCGGCATTCGTCATGATGATCTTGCTTCGCGCCTTGTCTCCCATATCGGTCATTGCCTGCGCCGGAGGTCCAACGAAGACAATGCCCTCCTTTTCGCACCTCTCAGCAAATCGGGAGTTCTCAGACAAGAAGCCATAGCCGGGATGTAGGGCTTGTATGCCGTGTTTCTTAGCTAGGGAGATGATGCGTTCGCCGTCCAAGTACGCTCTTGCGTCGCCCAGGTTCAAGGAGTGCGGGGAGCACGCGGCGTGCTGGCTCTTGCTGTCGGGGTCCGTGTAGATGGTCGTCGTCTTGATCCCTAACCTGTCTGCGGTCTTGTGGATTCGGAGAGCGATCTCGCCGCGGTTGGCAATAAGAAGAGAGGTAATAGGAGTGATTTGGCTAGAAGCCGGCACCGTCTGGCCTGCGGCAGTGGAGAGGAGCCGAGGGAGGGGTCGGACGAGCCGGTGCTTCGCTTTCATGGAACGCATGTTGGATGATTGAAGCTTTGTGACGTGAATTGTAAGCTTGGAATATCGATTAAACGCACATAGGGAGGAAGAGAAGAAAGCAAAGTTGATTGCAGAGGAGGCAAGCGCAGGGCTCAATGCGAATGCCCCAGGTAACCCGAGGTCTCAAAGGAGCTTCGGCTTGTTGCGCTCGATCATCTTGGAATGAGTGGTGCCGATAATAGCCGTGGGCGCTGCAAGCCGCTGAAAGGCGACCCCGGATTTCAGGCGGGACGTGCTGGACTTCTCCAAAACTGCCTTAGGTAAGGTAAGTAAGGTAGGGTAGCTGGTGATAAGATTAGAAGACGAGTTCCTCGACGTCATTCCGCGATAACATGGAAGGTCCGTTGGCTTTGCCCCGCATTAGTCAGCATGGGCTGGGACCTTACGCCCATCTTTCCTCTCCAGCCCAGCCGATCCAGACAAGGCTCATTCGAAAGAGAGGCTCACGATACGTTACCCAACACCCGTACATCCGTAAGAACAGCTTCAACAACATGGATCAACAGGTTCCCCTCAACTATGAGGCCTCTGCCGGCGAGACCAACAAGCAAGTTACGGCAACTCTTCCCCAAGAGGTCGTACAATGCCTGGAGAATGCGCGATTCGTAAGCTCTTAGCTCTTCTGCCCACCTCGATCAAGCTTTGCGGCGGCTCTCTACAACAGCAGCAATGTAGACATATGGCTGACGAGACTGTCGATTCGATAGCTTCACCTCGCAACTTGCACCGATAACACGCCGAACGTCTCCCTCATGAACTACACCTACCTCCCGTCCTCGAACCACTCAACCGGCCCCGTTATTGTCATGACCACGAACCCCGCCTCAAGAAAAACACAAAACCTTCTTTCGAACCCCAATGTCTCTCTGTTGGTGCACGATTGTATGTTATAGTTATATTGTGGTAGTGGCTCTACAAGGTTTGCTGACGGCTTCATTTAGGGTCTTCTCACCGACCGCCAACTTCTGGCCGACGACCTTCCGGCGGCAGCCCCGGGCCCGAGCACCGGTCTAGCCTCGCGTCCCTCCTATTGAATCTCAACACCGCGGCGGTCTCTAGTATTAGTGCAACAATCAATGGCACCGCCAGATTGGTTGACAATGGTTCGGACGAGGAGAAGTTCTACCGCGAGGCACATCTGGAAAACAACACATTTGATGAAGGCCAGAGCTTCAACCCAAGTGTCCAGGCTGAGGATGGTGGCAGGGGATGCTTTGTCGCGGGTGAGGAAGTACGAGTCATCGTGGTCAAAATCAAGGACGTCAGGATCAGTGATTGGAAGGGTGCAGTGCGGGATTACGTGCTGACAGAGGAGAATGCCGCTCCCCAGCTTAACGGCGTAAGGTAGGATGAACTGGAAATTCAAGAAATCTGACAATTGATGTCTGAGCCACATATCAACGAGTTGACGACCTCATGCAAGATATAAAGGCGGGCGTATTATGGATTGAACCGTTGAGAGGCCTCCCTCGTCAAAGGCTCTATGGCCGTGTGCTTGCTTTGAGACATCTACGCGGTTATTGCTATGCCACGTAAGTCAAAATGCTGTACGACAGGCTGTGAATCACATAGGGAGCCCAAAAGAAGCATCCAAAATGATGCCCAATGGATGGGCAGTGATCAGCATTTAGACTCTATTTAGACTCTATTTAGACTCATGGACTGACATGAGGCTTACGCTTACCTAGTAGAAGTAGGCAGGGCACAATTCGACACCGGAGCCGATACTTTATATTTCCAGTCATTAAGCCTCTTTTAGTGTAGGATTCTAATCACTAACGTCCATGTGAGGGACTGGTATCCAACGCTTAGATGTGACTTGTCAATCAGACCTGCGATGAAAGTTTGTGTAACACGGTGTGTGATCATCGGAATACTACTTTCCTGTCTGTATTAGTAGCGTAACAGCTGGTTAACGCATCGTTCGACGATACCACATCAGCAACTACTTTACCGTACTGCACATAGTAGAGCATTTCCCTCAAGATGTCTGGGCAGAAAAGACAAGGTTACAATAGGAAAAATAGCGCTGGGCATCGGGCGAACTGAGGGGGTCTAGGCATGTTGGACCACCAACCTTGCAGCGCGTACATGTAGGCTAGCTGCAGCGGCAGGCAGAGTGAAACATTCAGGGATCAAGGCCTCTCGGGAGTTTCTGTAGCGGGTTTGAAGCTCGGCACATTTGGTTTTGAGCCAAGTCGATCCCTTTAAGCATAGCGCGCGCGTGTGTGTGCATATCCAGTCAGGACCAGGTTTTGGGGGGCGACACGGATAAAGGCGAAATGGAGGCTGATCGGAAGATTTGGGGGGGGGGTTGCACAGGTTTAGAGTGCATATTTAGACTCGACATGAGCCACCGCCGGTTGGCACCGAGGAAAGCCCGAGTCTTTGACTCGGGTCCGCTGTGGCCGATCAAGAGATCACATCGGCAGATAACCGACCGACCGCGGGGTCAGTCAAATCCCGCGGGGTGTGGTAGTTCATGCCGGCATCGATGTGTGAATGAATCGTTGCTGAGAGAACTGTGGGATTGTTCACACATTTCTGCGGTAAGACATGTCATACTCCAGGGGTCCAAGTGATGTGAGTTCATTAGGTAGGTATGTATTTCTATTGGTATGATCCTGCCCATGTAGACTGGGTATCTATGGAGAGAATCGAATGTGTCAAGCTTCATCACAAAGGCTTCCTTGCCGTGACAAATGATCTATTGGATGGGAATCAGTCAGTTGTTTCCAGGTGAGGCTACAATCTTGCTTTGAAGGAACCTACACTTTGCCATATGCTTCGTTTGCAGTATCGCGCGACTCCTTGTGGACTCTCTTCAGGAGACTCCGGGTATCGTTTTCATCCCAACCCCCTTTGGCAAATACAGCCAATGAGTAGTTCTCCAAGCCTGGTGAAATGTTAGTCAATTGAGATGGACTCGTCAAAAGTGCAGACTATGACCATACCATATTCCAGCATCTGAGCAAATTGTGCCCCTTTTCTGACCATCTTCTCATCATGCCCCACAGCCTGTATGGGAACCAGATCCGACCAGCGCGCAACCTTTTCGAACCCAACATCGGAAAACATGGCAGGAATCTTTGGTGTTGGGTCAAAGTCGACGCCTGCAATCTTGGCCATTTCCGAGAACCGCACCTCGAACTCGCGACATGCCGTCATCCCGCCGTGATCCTTTTCCTCAACCGTGGGAGCAGCGGGCTCATCCCCGCTGCTGTCAATCAGGTCAAAGTACCTCGTCCTCACTTCGGCGAACTCAATCTGTCCGCCAGGCTTGAGGTGTTCGTACGCTTGTCTGAAAAGTGCCTTCCAGTCCGAGACGCCCCCGCCGACGAGGTTTCGCATATGCACAAAGTCCAAGCTATCCTTCTCCCGAGCCCAGTCCTGGGTTGCGTCTTCGACTTCAAAAGCAACATTGGCCGGCACGGTTGTAGGCAAGAGTGCGGCGGAAATGTCAACGCCCATGATTTTGGCCAGAGGGTACTGCTCGCCCATTTCAACGGCCCAGTTGCCAGTGCCGGAACCTATGTCGAGAATGTTGAGAGGCCTGTCCTTGGGGAGCTTCGCCGCTGTCAGACCACCTTCGAGGCACAGCTTGAATAGCTGGTGCTGAATTTCTAGACGAGCGCGCTCGGATTCGTCGTTGGGCATTAGGAATACACCGGAACCGTGGTATGTGTGACCATAAGCGCGGATGGGCGGGAGCTCGTCGACAGAGACGGAGCTGAAATCAGACCCTGCATCGGAACAGTCCTCATCATCGTCGTCGTCGGCATCTTGAGCATTGTGTGTTCGTGACGGCCTCCTCCGGTCCCTGTGGTCCGTCCGGTTTCTTGTGGCACCGGCACCCTCGCCCCTACGTCCGTCGCCATCGCCGATGCCGGGATCGCCAACGGTGTCAACGTCCTCACCCATTTTGTCGAGCTGGGGAAGAATGAATCCGTTGAAAATTTGATGCAAGAATTTTTTTTACTTGCGCCAGCTGACGTCGATGTCGTTCTCTATCGTGTATTTACGTTTGCAAAGAAGCTCCTGTCGTCTGTCACTCTCATGGAGCGATTCGCTGCACTGTTGTTGTTGTCTTTGCTCGCGAGATTTCCCAAATGGGGACTCGATCGTGGGCCCGGCCCCCTCGGGTGTAATATGGCCACACGTGGGATGGCTAATAAGATTTGCCCAAAGAAGAATAGGAGGGACCGCAAGAGATGATGTATGAAATACCCAGGCCGATATCAGCGCGAGGAAGGTGGGTTACGCGCAGAGTATCTGTACGGATACATCAAGTGGCTCTGCCGTCGAGGGTTGGCTGATGTCTTTGTATTCACCCCCTTGACAACCGATGAGGTGAATAGTCAATGAAATAATATCAGGAACCAAAGACAAGGGGAGCCCGTTGACCTCTTCAGTGTTGACAAAGGAAGATGGCAGAACAAAGAGGGCGAGGACTACGCAATGCACAAGACCGGACGGGAAAGGCTAATTTGAAAGGGGGGAGGGAGGGCCTGATGAGGGAAATGGACATTTACCGCGGGATGCTTCAGCACTTGACTTGGACGGGATTCGATGGATGGAACCTCCACGCATTGTACATCCTTTTTTTCTTTTCTCTCTTTTGCTTCCCCTTGCTCCTCTGCCAGGACCTGACGCCATCAAATCACACTTGGCTTCTGATCGGAGCACTTGTCCGCAAGGAGTCACTGGCTAGAGAAGAGACAGCATGGGAAGTGCGGGAGGCGGTCGATGGCGGGCCATGCAGCATGGGAGAGAGAGCATGGGATGTGTGTGCCGCCTAGGACTTGGTGAAAAGCATGGAAAATTCGAAAACAAGAGAGAAAAAAAATTCGAGCCGTTGGAAAACCCCCTCCCTCTTCTCCCCCGACAAAAGATGTGCATGCATGCAGAGAGGGATCAGAAAACAACGGGGCAGCTGGGCTGTGGCTGGCAAGTTGCATTTACTCTTTGCGGCAAGCCATCTCAACTTTTGTTACTTTTGTAAGGTAACCTGCCCTACCCTGTGCCCAGGTATTCACACGGGCAGGGCCTAGCTTGCCTGCACTTGTACGGATAATAGTGCCAGGGTTAGACAATAAGACAGGGTAGTAATGGCACTTGAGCTTGGAGCACGGGTATGATTTTCAGGGCAAGGGAACACTTGCGAAAACAACGGCCAAAGAGAAACGCAAATCAAGCCAAATCCCGGTACAAGACACTGGGCTTACGACAGCAATGTCTCTTTAGGATACCTCAAACTTCATATTCTCTAGCTTCCGTGTCTTACGCGCAAAGGTGTCGATTTGACGATTCAGTATTCCTATCCGCACAAGGGATCCTGAGTCGGATACTCACCTTGTTCTTGAGGTAATTCCCACCTCACCCGTATTTCTCGTCTCCTCTTCTGGACGGAGCAAAAATAGTTACAAACATCTCTTGTCCACTCCAAGTTGTGCCATCTGGTAAACCAAGATGCGGCACGCCTCCGAAGTACCTTGTTCGGATGTTCCAGGGTCAACCGGAGCCAAGCCCAACCTGGCATTCTCTTCACGACCTCGGTCACTGACGTCTTACCTTGGGAGTATTGTGGTGCGAAGTACTAAGAGGGAGCTGCCTAGTCAAAGCACGTCTCAATGCATCTCCCAAGGACCGGAATGCCACCCCAACAGTGAAGGTCTAGAATGGTCCTGGCGGGATGCAACGCTGGCCGGCAGGATGCTTTCTTCAAGGGCGCTTGCTCGCTCCTTTCCAGAAAGACTCGATTACCAACGCGATAGACATGGCGGTTGATAGGACTCAGAACGGTGAACGGCACCGGGGGCGACTTCTCGCCAGCCCTCAAGTTCCACCACAAAGATCGCTTGTTCTCTGTCGTAGTTCTGCAATAAGCCCGGCCCGAAGCGGCAGACCAACCGCGAAGAGAGAGACCATTGTGATGCCCGTTTCTTTGTAACTTATTTAGCAACTAACTCACCACCCTCCAGCGGACATCTCCCGATGGCAAAGAGGGTCTGCCAAACTGTCCCAACTACTTGAACACTCTCGCTGCCCACCAAAGCCACGAGGGAGGACAAGGCAGGGGGGCATGGGGCTATGGTCGACTTGCCTTCCTTGGGAGCTCCAACCGCCCAGGGTGCCACGCAGTGTTTGCCTGTCAAACGGAGCTAACGGCGTGGCAATCCCGTATGCTAGTCTCTGCGGATACACCAGAAGCCAGCCCGCTGCCCCATTATCTGTGGTGATTTAGATGAAGTAACGCTGCTCTTCCCTTCCCTTCCTTCCAGAAGGCTAGAAGCCCAGCCCAGCTCGGCACATGGATCATGGAATTTGACAATTGGCGAAATGAAAAATGGGTTCATCGATGCGGTGAGGCAAGGCAAACCAATAGCTAGAGGACTATCCGTATCTAGCATCAAGATCCGGATTCTCTCTGGTTATCAATATATCAGCTCCTTCTGACGTACTTGACGTCAATAGCAATGTCTTGATGAGATTGTACTTGTTGGAAACCCCGGCACCTCTTGCTTGTTGGTTTGGGAGCTGTTATTCCCTCAAAATTGAATTCAGACCTTGGCATCTCGTGTTTCGTGAAAATTTCCATCGTTTCTTTGCTAGGCCCACCGTCAACGCTGCCCACAAAGGCCGTCTTTCCCACCTCATCAGTTATCGGCCTTTCATGAATGCAGGATAAGAGGACCTTGCAGAGAGAGTGCAGCCAGACAATGGTCGGACACCGAGGTTGAACCCGCATCGGAGCTTCCGGTTGCTGCTGCAGCGTCCCCTCTGTTGCATTGCCTCCGAAAGGAGAGGAGAGGGGCAGCGCTGCGGCGGCGCGACCAACAAACTTGAGCCTCTCTTGACTCACGTTTCCAACTTGTCACGGGCGGCGAACTTGACCGACATGAGGCCTCAACTCAGCCATCGCGGGCCAATGAAAGCAGTGTGACCACTTGGAGCAGCCGACAATTAGTGCGCCGGCCCATCACATCTTTTGCATGTATTACCTAGTTGTGAGGCACTTCGGCACGCCGCGCGGAGGCGATGGGTCTCATCATAAGCTTCCGGCGCTCCCCCATCCAGAATTGGATCAGTGGTTCGCTCGCTCATAGCGGTCATGCAACGGCGCACCGAGTTGTCACAAAAGGCGCATCTTATACCACCAATCAAGCTCACCTCCATGTCATCCCTCATTCTGCGCGGTAGAAACCTTTCTCAAATATGTCTTCACTGGCCAGTATGAATTGACCAAATAGCCGCGGCTGACGCTGCCCCATACGTGTATCGATATGTCGGCATTTGAAGAGGGTATCTAGATAGGGTACCTTTGAACAGCGCCGGGCAAGGTAAGTAAGGGTGCGAAGCCAAGGCATGGGAAGTGGAGAGGTCAGGCCTAACCCCCCGCCCCTCTCGTGAGATGGGCAAGGGCTCCAATGAGCTCCATAGTCGCGTGGCTTGACGTCTTTCCCGGGCTGATCCGATATGGGATGAAAATATTGTAAAAATCCAAGCAAGTAGTAGTAAAAGAACGCGCTCCACCAAACTCCTGATCACTAGACCGTTTCGATGTACCGTTTTACCTCCCTGTGTAAATGCTTTGTTAGCCATGCTCCATCACCGCCATCGCCATCAGATGATGCTCCGAGGGTTAATACATACCAATCTGTCACGGCCTCGTCCCAGACCCGAATCTCGTGGTCTCTTGTTCCACCAAAGTGATCGACAAAATCGTCCCCGAATACTTCTCTTGCAATGCTTTCCTTGCGCATGAAACGATCGTTTGCTTCACGCAGACTCTTTGCGAGCCTCACGCCCTTGTCAGCTTTGCCGCCAACATCCTCGCCCTTGCCCAAGGGCGGGACGGGGATCTCGAGCTTCTTCTCTACACCTCGCCATCCGAGAGCAAGAATTGCTGCCAGCACGAAGAAAGGGTTGGTGTCTGCGCCGGGGACACGAACTTCAAATCGCGTTGCGCCAGGCTTTGACGTTGGCGGGGCGATAAGACGAATTGATGCTGCTCTGTGTTCCAAGCCCCATGATACTGTCACCGGCGCCCAAAAGTTCTCGACAAGGCGTTTGTAGGAGTTGACCGTGGGTGCCAACAATGTCATGACATCTGGGAGGCCTTCCAGCAACCCGGCCAGGAAATGCCGACCCAAGTCTGAGAGATTAGCGACATCGGGGTATGGCGCATTCTCATCCTTTGTCTCTCGAGCGAACAGATTCTTGCCATCCTTATCGACAATGGAAACGTGCATGTGCCCACTGTTTCCAGGCAAGCCCTGCTTTGGCTTCGCCATGAAGCATGGCGTGATGCCGTATTTCGTTGCGACCGACTTGACAACGTACCTGCAACAAACGCGGTTAGTAAGATGCCATACAAAACAGATTGGCCAACATACTTGAACAAGCTGGCTCTGTCGGCCATCTGTGCAATTTCTCCAAACTCAAGTGCGGCCTCAAAGACACCAGGGCCACTCTCCGTATGCCAGCCCTCAATGTCACACTTGAACTGGGAACAAGTCTCGAAAATGTCATAGAAGTAGTCCTTGTTGTGCACCGTTCGTGTCAAGCTGTAGCCAAACATGCCCTCTGTAAGGGACGGCAAAGCTTGTGGGGGGTTCTCTTGCAGGTATCCGGCGGTTGAGCTCGTGGACTCGGCGGAGCGGGTAGGCGCCTTGAATTGGTAGAACTCGTACTCAGCTGTCAGGGAGAACGCGCGGTTAGCTTGCTGTTTCTCGACGATAATGAGGGCGTTGACGGGACTCGTTCGCAAACTGACCTCCTGCCATGGCACCGTAGCCCTTGGCTTGCAATTTAGCCAGAGCATTCTTCAGGAGACCACGGGGGCATGCGCAAATAGGCTCTTGGGTGTCCGGGTCGAAGAAGCTGACCAGGAAAAAAGGCACATTATCCTCCCAGGGGATGCGGCGGAAACTGGAGAGATCGGGGATGGCAATCAGATCGTGGTAGCCGTTCTCGGCATTGCTGATCTTCAGCTCCTTGATGTATGTCATGTCGTGCATATCCCAGCCAAAGATGACGGAGCAGAAGCCAAAGCCTGATTTGGCCACGGACAGAAACTTATTCTTGGACACCAGCTTTCCTCGGAGCATGCCGTCGACATCGATGCCGGCAAGCTTGACCTTGTTATCATTCTTGAGAAGCTCGGGTAGCGACTCGATAGTCACGGCTTCGTTAGACGACGCCATTGTGTATGAAGGTAAGATGGATAAAATAGCGCGCGTGTAACGAAGCTATCAATTGACTTTGGGATGGCGACGGATGGGACGAAAGCTCACGGCTTGGAGTTGGAGTTGGAGGTGTGGTAGCAGCAAAGTCTGTCGTGACAGGAAGACGGGAGGAAGCGTCTGCTGCTTTCTATGTGCGCAAGAGCTGATAAATGAAGATGTCTAGAAGTAGGATGTGGTAGAGGAGAAGGGAGGGAGGCCCAGGAGAGCGCGCAAAAGACACGAGAAGCAGACCGAGGCGGAACAAGATCGTGGGTCCTGAGCGAGACGAGAGGCTGGAGACTGAGGGACTTGAGGTCGGGATCTTGAGGGAACGCGGAAAGACGTGGAGAGGTAGCGGTACGGAGCAATTATCGTATCTTTAGAAAGGTATGTTAACCGTGGGAATGTACCTTATTACGGTGTGAGCGAGTACTGAGCAGTACCGTAGGAGGACGACTCGCAAGAGCAAGGAAGATAGCGCCGCTGCTGCACACTGCCCACGCACCCCCGGATGTTTCCCCCATGGATGGGAAGGTACCTGGCCATAGAAAGGTAGGTGGGTAGGTACCTTGACTGATCCCAAGGCTCCCTCGTCTGCGGCAACTGGTGTGGATTGTCCCGCCGATAAGGGAGCGCGCGGCCAATGGAATGTTGCGATTTGGGGATTTGGGGGAGCTGGGGAAGCCGAGTGACGACTGACAACCTGGAAGTAACCTTGCCATGCCTCGCACTTACCCTTGATTGCGGTTTACGCTTTACCTAAATATCGCTTCCAACAAGTGAGCAATGACATCGGCCCGGAGCGCCAATCTGTTTACTCAAGACAGCATGTCACCTGCGTGGCATCCTGGGCCGGGTATCTTGAGTAAGGTATGGAAGGTATCGAGCCGCGTGAGCTGCTTCCCTTCCTATTCCATGTTGTCTTGTTCCTTGGCAATCGACACTTGCTTCCCTTCCCGCCTGCCTCTCGGTTCGACGCGAGGAAAATCATTCGTAGGTGAGCGGCACCCAGCGGCACAGAGCGAGGAAGGAGGTACGGAGGGGAGGGACGATGACTTTTCAGGTGCGTCATTGCGGCAGTCACGCACAGACTTAGCTGGCTAGACCGCGGTACGTCCCTCTACCTCCTGCCGAGTCCTTACCTTAGGGTAGTGTCAAGTCCTCAACCTCAGGCAGAAACACTCCTTCCTCAAATCCATCAGAACGGCAGGATCCCATGGGCGGCTTCCATCTGGCAGATGCGTGTCTTAGGTAAGTCACAGCCTGGACGGGCAGGACGCAGGAAAGTGGCCTGGGATGCTATTGCTGGATTGTGACGAAAATAATGGAATTGTCTCAACGGCCATTGGGGGCACTTGCTGTTGCAGCTGGTTACAACTTAGTAGTCATCACTGTGTGAGTATGAGAGATTTTTTTGTGAGATCCAATATCTTCTCCATGTTTCCTCGCACGCTGCCTCTTGCTCTGTCCACCTATTCTTCCTTCCTCCCAACTTTCAGATTGCTCTCAGTCTTTTCTCCACCTCAGTCACCACCATCACCACTATCACCACCTCACTGTGAACTTGATCACCGTCGCCAACTCATTAAACGCCAATTTTACCCCACGCCAGCCATTTCCCGTCCCGTATGCTGCCGCGCTGTTGATTGATTGACCTGAGACCGCGGCACTCGGCAAGTCGATGCCAAAAGGAACATCCCCGAAACCAGATAGATCTCTTGCCCCCATGAGGGCCAGATCCTCCGCGCTTGACTTGCCGACAACGGGGGTTCTGAAATGGAGGGGTTCACGATGGGGATTCAATTTCATCAGTCATTGACCCCTCTACCCCCTCCACAGCCCGCTATTATCGCTTCTACCCTTGTCATGGTCTATTATCCGCTGATACTACACACAGCTTTCTTTGCGCATCTTCTTTGTCGCCAGCGCGGCAAATGCCTTCTTTGATCTTGTACAATCGTCAACAATGTCATTACTCGAGTACATGCGCATCTTCGTCTTCATCTCTCGTGCTGCCGCCTGCTCGCTCGACTGAAATAAGTGTCCTACCGCCGCCCTCACACAGTCTACCCCCCCCCCCCCCCCCGAGTGCCAGGCGTCTATCGGCACCGCCGCCGCTCCTCGACTCGGGGAACCCCTCAGCGCGGTCCCGAGCCGCGATCTGCCACGATCCACGAATGATGAGTTTGTGAATGGTAATGGTTTCTCCGATGCGTCCGGACTCAAACACCACATGGACCTTTCTCATTCACCGTCGAGGCCCCCCGGCTGCCCACATGACGATGTGAGCCTGAGAGGGGTGGAGGGGCTCGAACTGACCGCTTCCAATACCGCTTCGCTTGCCTTGCGCCTCTCCGCCTTCGACTTCCCAAGTCACCAAGTGTTTCCGGATGGTACGGTTACAGACGCACACCGTATTCACTTTGCCTGCATTCTGCCGCCATGCCGCCCAATCTTACACCGTCCGGCGTACGGACACATACACACACCTTGACACCTGACGAGACGCTCGGTGGCGACTTGTCTGATCAACTTTCAGTCCAGCAGATCCCGAGTCTGTGCCTTTCTTGGTCTACTCCTAGCCCGATAACTCTGAGCCTTAGTTCTCGCAATTCGATGTTATTGGCTTGGATTCACCTTTAGCTCACCAATCCAGCTGCACTCTCGGAACCATGCACATAGGGTCTCGTTCCTTTGTTCCCCAACTGGTTCGACTACTGGGTATTCAACGTCCACCGATGATGGTTTTTTCTTATATCTCCAAGATAAGAGAGATAAGGCATGTCGCGAAAGATGCGGCCGACCTTTGGAGGTAGCGCTCGCTCGACACACCCTCTCGCCTAGGGACACCTCACCCAACCTTACCACAGTGTCTCTTGTCTCCCTCTCACTCACTCTCATCCCTCCCTCCATCAGACACGGAGGGGTTGGTTCCTGACTTGGACGTCCGTCATGCAACGCCGCGGTCTGACCCACTGATAAGAGATAACGCGATATCGGAACTTGCGCCCGTCGACACGTTTTATGATCCGTATTGGGAATTCCACCAACGCATGCGATGCCGCCTATCGTTGACCGACAAGCTCCGTTCTGATCAGTGGTGGCAGTCGGACGGTCTATCGATCACGATCCAAGTCGTTTCTTTTCCACACTCCTGCACGGCTAGACAGGCACGGCAGGGAGTAGGGACACCACGGCCCTGGCACCGATGCGCAGCTTGCCTGCCCAACTTTTCCAACCCAGGACGGTCCTTGTTGCACCCCGTCACCCCGTTCCCCCCTTCACCCCGTGTCACACATGGGAGCCGAGATGGTGTTCCCGATGCGCCGTTGTCGGATCTATCTCGCCAGAGGCAGGCTCGAGCAGCTAATCGTGAGGTGGGAAGGGGGTGGGCGTTGATGTCTGGTGTATCTCGATATGTATCCGTACCGCGCTTGCGCGCTTTGTATCCAGTGCCTACTCCGTGTTTGCGACTATCTTAGCAATCCCGTCCATCATTCTGTCTTAGCCCATGGAAATTGGCCAGGGCGGCACGAAGTGGCCTGGACCCCGGATTTCCTTGACTCATTTCTTGCCAGACGACGGCCTTCTATCCTTCTTCGGCTCCATCTTACTAGACCAGCCCCGTCTTACTGATTTCTTTAAACACATCGTGTCCGTCGCATCGTGGTGACCATTCTACCCTTCTCTCTTCTCATCATCACACTTTGTTCCAACTTATTAGAGCTCCGAGCTACCAACAGCACTTCGACTACCACACCAGAACCTTCGAACCCCAATTCGTACCTCCGCCACTTCGCGATTTACCATCTGTGACTTGCGATTCAACATCACGGCTTCTCCCTCCCAACACAAAAGACAGCTTCCGAAATAAACACAACCGTTGAAATGGGTTCCGTTCCTGCTGAGATTGGAGGTCGCCTGGCTGGCAAGAACGCCGTCGTCACTGGCGCTGCTGGGTAAGGACATCCAATGCAATGTTGCAACCCCTCATGGTCTCAGAGGCGCCTTATCAGCACGGCGCATCGGAATGAGTCCCAAGTGGCTGGACGTTCACCGCATCATACACACATGGCATACAGGATCCGATAAGCTGACAAGCAATTGTGACAGTGGCATTGGCTTGGAGACGACCATTCTCTTTGCGAAGGAGGGTGCCAGCGTTGCCATGGCCGATATTTCTGCCCCGGCACTCGAAAAGGCGAAGGCCAAGGTTCTGTCGCTGCTCCCATCAGCCAGAATTGAGACCAAGGTACGTTGAGTTTGGCTGCGAATGAAAAGTGTTGGAAGATCCCATTCCCGCCGCTCCGGTGTGCACCAAATCAAACGCCGACAGCAATGCACTGCACTACACTGGACGCAGTGACAACAACCCAGCACACCTGCACACTGCACACTACATACTGCACAAACCGAAAAAAAGAATTACCCCGCCATGCCCCGCCATTCTTCGTGTCTCGTCTCTTGCCTCGTCACACGACACAAGACAAAACCAATGATTAGAGTGTTCCATTTTGCTGACGATTTCTCTTTGCCATCATAGGTTACCGATGTTTCCAAGGAGGACCAGGTCAAGGCCCTCATCGATTCCGTTGATGCCTGGGGTGGACTCGACATTATTTTCAACAATGCCGGAATTATGCACGCCAAGGACGACGATGCTGTGAACACCCCCGAGGAGATCTGGGATCTGACCCAGAACATCAACGTGAAGGGTGTTTGGTTCGGCAGCAAGCACGCTGTTCTCGCGCTCCGCCGCAACAACAAGACCAAGGGCTCCATCATTAACACTGCCTCAGTCGTCGCGCTTGTCGGTGCCGCCACTCCTCAGCTTGCCTACACCGCCTCCAAGGGCGCCGTCCTCGCTCTTACCCGTGAGCTCGCCATGGTCCACGCCCGTGAGGGTTACCGCTTCAACTCCCTCTGCCCGGCGCCTCTCAACACCCCTCTGTTGCAGGACTGGCTCGGCGACGACGTGCCCAAGCGCATGCGCCGCGAGATTCACTTCCCTACCGGCCGCTTCGGTGAGGCCATTGAGCAGGCACAGGCTGTTCTTTTCCTCGCCAGCGACGAGTCCAGCTTCGTCAACGGCCACGACATGGTCGTCGATGGCGGCATGACCAAGGCCTACGTTACCCCCGAGGGCCCCGCGGCGCCTGCCCCCATCAACAACGCTAGCCGCACCAGCCTCGAGTAAGGATGCGATACGTTGCTTGTTTGAATCCGATTTTCGCGATATGATACCGTATTGGGTTGGAGTTTAGGGCGCTGGACAAGAGACCGGGGCATACACGGCCAATGGCCATGATGATGAAACTGCATAGACAATTTAAACCAATTACTCTCAAGAAGCTCGTAAAAGCAGTGATCTTGTTGTATCTGCTAGACTCGGAGCTTTACAGATTACTTCCATGCACCGGCTGCTAAATATGGGTCAGCAGTTGAGAGATGCACATCAAGAAACGGCGAAATAATATCCTGAAAACGCTAGAAGATTCCGCAACGCCGCCCTATGCATTTTTCATAGATAGTCCTCTAGTGGAACTGGCTTTCGGTGTTACCCTCACCCATGCTCTTGCTGCTCGAGCTGCCGCTCTGAATAGCCCCGAGGATCCCGTCAATGTAGCTCGCGCCGCTCCACTTCTGATGCGTCAAGACGTCACAGCCACCCTCTTTCTCGCGCCTCTGGACAATATTCACATACGCCAGCATGCCATCCTTCTTAAAGTCCCTCGCCAGCTCGTTTGTAATGGTAGCGTTGGAGTGAAGGCCAGCAAGCGAGATGAGCTGCAACACGAATCCTTCCTGAGCAATGTCCCAGATGAAGCTCTTGAGCGTCTCGTCTGTGAATCCGTGTGCCATCCAGTTGAACGAAGGGCTGAGGTTATAGACGAGTCCCTTGCCCGGGTAGACGGCGCGGACGGCCCTGGCCAGATCCGTAGCGACCTTGACGTTGGGGTCGCCCGTCTCGACCCACAAGAGGTCTGCGTAGGGGCCAAAGGCAATGGCGCGCTTCGTGGCGGCGTCCATGCCGGCGCGGTAGTGGTAGAAGCCTTCGCGCGTGCGGGGGACGTCCCAGGAAAAGTAGACGGGCGTCGAGGTGTGCTCGTTGGCGAGCTTGCGGCGCTGGGAGATTCCCATGTCGCGGTTCGAGCGTGTAGCTTCGAGGTACGCGTCAATCTTGTCCTGGGAAACGTCCTCCTTTTGCATGTGCGCCACAGCGGCCTCGTCAAAAGTTACGAGCTTGGTGCTCTTGACCCAGTTGGCCTCAAAAGCGTCAATTTCGGCACCGACAGCGCCTTTGGCCTCCATGGCCTGGATTGTCTCGGCGAGGGGCTCGAAGCTAGGGTCCGCTACTCCTAGGATGAACTCATGATCGCGGACGTCAATGGCACTACTGATGAGCTTCCCGCTCTCAGAATCGGTGCGGGCGATGACGAGGTTCTCGCAGCCCATGACGTCCCATTGGAAACGGGCAGCATTAAGGCGGTTAATGTGCTCACCAATGGGCACCAGAACCTTGCCGGCCAAGTGACCGCACTTCTTGCCGCCATGGAGCTGATCCTCGAAATGCACCGCTGCCGCGCCGTTCTCTGCAAAGAGCTTGGCGAGCTTGAGGACGGCGGAGAGGGCGCCATGCCCAGTATCGCCGTCGGCAATGATGGGTCGCAGGTAATCGACGTACGGGGTCTTTGCGCGTTCCTCGGCCCTGAGCTTTCGTCGAGAATCCCATTGTTTCCGGTCGTGCATCGACTGAGCCTTGGCGAGACGCTGGACCTGGTTCGGTACGGTATTGTAGGGGTAATCACCGAAATCGGGGGAGACCTCGTTGGTAGAGGTCAGAAGAGAGGAGCATGCCCAGCCCGAGATGTACAAGACTTCTTGGTGCGGGGCTTGCTGGGTCATTTGGACAGGATCTATGGCTCCCACTACAAAGCAATGTTGGTCAGCGTTTGCCCATCTGTGGAGGGGCAAGGAGCGGAGTGTGCGTACTCGTGTGAATGGGCTTGCCCTCGGCTTCCCGCTGCTTGATGAGGTTGAAGAGCTTCCTCGCCATGACGGAGCTCGGGTATGACTGATGCTGCGAACCGCGCTTGGAAACTACATCGGCTGAGCTGTATGGCCGCTTGATTCCCTCGTATCTCGGTGACTGCCACCATGCCTCAACCTCTCTGATCTGCGTCTCGTAGAGTTCATCTTCAGCCGCGCCAGCCTTCTTGGACTCGGCAAGGAGTTGGAAGTTATCACTAGGAGGGGCGGAGGCAGGGAACAGGTTCGCCGGAGCTTGAGCCATATTCCTAGTTGTCGAGATACAGCGTACGACAATAGTGGGTGTTGAAGACGTCCTGATGAGAGGAACCCTCCGGGTGACTGCTCGCGCAGCAACTCGTCGTATCATTGTCGTGTCTTGTTCCCGTTGATGGGTAGGATTGCAATGATAGCACAGATTGCGTGGTAGAAGTGAAGAACACGATTCGCAAGGCTTTCCTCAGTCGTGGTTCAGTCTGCAGAGTAAAGGTAATTGTCTAGTACCAGGAGTTTAGCGTCGTATAGCCGGCGAGGCAGGTTTCTACCTAAGCAAATCCGAGAGGCAAAACTCGGCACTCGGGACAATGGATGTTACATAAGAGAAGCTCTGTGGAAATAACGTGGGAAATGGACTGAGCAAATGTGAGCGCTCAACTTCGGCGAGTGTTAGCCGGGCAAAAGCGAATCAACAGCCATGGTAAGCAGCGGCAAGATCGAAAGTCACCACGTGCAAGGGCACCAGGAGGCATTCTCATTGGCCAATGGATGGTAGCAGAGATCCATAGTTGCGTCGGCTTGCCTCGGCCCATCATTTTCCCCCTCATCAGTCACAGACTCACAGTGCCAACGACGTGGGGAAGGAGACCAAAGGTGAAGCAAAAATGGGTCTGTGAGCTTACCCGACCACTCACGGCGCACGGAATGTGAGCAATGACGCTCCGGCCGCTTGAACCCGCACTGCCCGCGCCAAACGTGGAGGAGGAGGGCAAAAAGCTGGGGTCCCGTCCCTTGTCGTTCCACTGCACTCCCCCACCGACCTTGAAGACCACCCCGCCAGCGTCGGTCGCCCAGCGCCGCTCAGCAAGCCAGGCTCTCAATAAGAACATACCTTGCCTTAACGTGAGGTTGGTGGTTTCACTGCTGTTGAGTGCTAAGGTAAAATGCATGGCCGCCGGCGACGGTCCGAAGTGAGTCGAGCTGCGGCGGTGCGCTGACTTACACATCCCCTCTCCCGCGGGGGTACCTAGGTCAGTGCCGCTCACCCAGGCTTCCCCAACCTCGGGTCAAGCTGTCTTGTCTCGGCCTGCTGCGGTACCTGCTTATCTAGCTAAGTCGGCACAATGTGAAGTTCCTCGTCCGTCTCCTAGTGACTTTCTTTCTGTTTCTCCTCCTACCGTACTTCATCACCTGTTGCTTGTCTCAACTTCCACTCCTCCCAAGAAGAACTTGATCCAATCCTGCCGATTGATCGAGCAGCCATTCAGCTACCCTTGGCTTTCTCTGGTTAACTCATCCTGCTGTTTACCCCTCCGCACAGCTTCTCCGTCGCTGATCCTCCCTTGGAACTTCCCTCGGTCGGCAACCATGGCTATGAACATCACAAAGAGCACCAGGGCTCTTGGAGCTCTTAGGGTAAGTTGAAGCTATAGCAACCAAATATCGCCAGAGGTATAGGTACATAGTCTGACAATATTTAGCCCCTGGCAGCTCGCTCTGTTCTCAATGCGCGTCAATATTCGACCTCCGAACCGGACCTTAAGACTACATTAAAGGGTGTCATTCCCGCCAAGCGGGAGCTCCTGAAGAAGGTCAAGGCACACTCATCCAAAGTCATTGGGGAGGTCAAGGTCGAGAACACTCTGGGTGGAATGCGAGGCCTCAAGGCCATGGTTTGGGAGGGCTCCGTCCTGGATGCGAACGAAGGCATTCGGTTCCACGGCAGGACCATCAAAGATTGCCAAAAGGAGCTTCCCAAGGGAAAGACTGGAACTGAAATGTTGCCCGAGGCCATGTTCTGGCTTCTTCTTACAGGCCAGGTCCCTTCCACAAACCAGGTTCGCCAGTTCTCTCGTGAACTGGCCGAGCAAGCTCAATTGCCCGCCTTTGTCAACAAGCTCCTCGATGATTTCCCGAAGGACCTGCACCCTATGACCCAATTTGCCATTGCTGTCTCTGCCCTCAACTACACCTCCAAGTTTGCCAAGGCATACGAGCAGGGTATCAACAAGGCTGACTACTGGGAGCCTACTTTCGACGATTCCATCTCGCTGCTGGCCAAGTTGCCCACGATCGCTGCCAAGATCTACCAGAACTCCTACCGCGGCGGCGGTGCCCTCCCTGCAGAAGTCGACCTGGAGCAGGATTGGTCTTACAACTTTGCTGCCATGCTTGGGAAGGGTGGCAAGGCAAACGAGAACTTCCAAGACCTCCTCAGACTATATCTTGCTCTCCATGGAGATCACGAGGGCGGCAACGTTTCCGCCCATGCCACTCACCTCGTTGGCAGCGCCCTTAGCGATCCCTTCCTCAGCTACAGCGCTGGTCTCCAAGGTCTCGCGGGGCCTCTTCATGGGTATGTAGACACCGTCAATAACGGCTGCAATAACAGGCCAACGCTAATCCCCCACATAGACTTGCCGCTCAAGAGGTTCTTCGGTGGATCCTACAGATGAAGGACAATATTCCCTCGTCGTACTCTGACAAGGACGTCACGGACTACCTGTGGTCGACCCTCAACTCCGGCAGAGTTGTCCCTGGCTACGGCCACGCCGTTCTCCGGAAACCCGATCCTCGTTTCGAGGCTCTCATGGATTATGCTGCTGCCCGACCCGAGATTGCGCAAGACCCTGTCTTCCAACTTGTGGAAAAGAACAGTCGGATCGCCCCCGAAGTGCTCAAGAAGCATGGAAAGACCAAGAACCCTTACCCTAATGTTGACTCAAGCTCTGGAGTTCTGTTCCATCACTACGGCTTCCACGAGACTTTGTACTACACCGCCACCTTCGGTGTCTCCCGCGGTTTGGGACCCCTTGCTCAGTTGATCTGGGACCGAGCATTGGGACTGCCCATTGAGCGGCCTAAGAGCATCAATTTGGAAGGGCTTCTTAAGCAGGCTGAGAGCTCGTGAGCCAAGTATTGTCGGCAAAATAATGAGGAATTAGATGAATTTGACTAAAATAGCTACGCTGGGATCTAGACCTAGCCGGAGTTGATCCTGGAATCCAATGACACATTTTTCAAATCTCTTGACACTATTGACTGATATCTCGGACCGACATGAGTAACACCCCATAGCCGGGAGTAACTTACCCAAGGTAGGCTCTGATAGTGCCACCTACTTCCTAGCTTCTGTGAACCTCTGGATAATACATTCAGGCTAGAGAACTTTGATCATTTGACACCTAGCTCCGGCTGGATGGTTGAATCTTTATGGAGCAATACCATCATGTCACTACTTCGTCCCAAATGGAAACCATTGGGGGGTTGGTTGTCTGGTACTGCGGCACTCCGAAACGCGAAGTCCCGTTAAAAAGGAAGGATGGCTGCTGGAGGCCTGAGACTGCGAGGGGCATCTCATCAAGAGCACCCCCACACGGATGGTATCTGTTGCCCAGCAGAGTCAATCTAAGAGACTTAATATCGGCCTAGGAGGAATAGTAAACGCCGCATTCTGCAAGTTGTCACACCCTGGCCAATTACATCTCGCCAGAGTGCAGAAAATAAGGCACAAACAATGAGGAAAAACTTGCAGGGCTCCAGGCTAAATTCACCTCGCGCGAAAAGAGGCATTCTCTCGCCAGAACATGATGCAGGGCCACTAAAACCTAGATGCTCACCACATTGGGCGATGTTACCTCGGTTGGCCTAGGCAATATCGAGGTTTGAATTCGCGTAGCGCCGGCGCCTCCGTTGCGGTTTCTAGGAGACGATTCGAACATCTCGCGCAGTAACCAAATCACCAATGCCGCGACGTCTCCTGGATATAGCCTGCTTTCAACTTAGCTTTATCAAGGATATCAATATCAGCGATCATCCTGAACAATGAAGGTCTGAGGATGATATGCTTTCGGTTTCCAGTCCTGATAGTTGACCATGGTTGTGCCGAAACACAAGGGATGGTCTGTGGAACCTCGTCGGCTCGTCGAAAGTGGGTGCCATCTTCTCTGGTATCTTGTAAGATAGAAGGGCTTGAATTTTGCGCTTGAAAGGTTCTTTTCTTTCCTGTAAAGTATTGAAGGGAGTCCTGATTTTCTTTCGCCGAATATATTTCAGGTCATCAAGGCTTCCAAATATGGGCCCCCCTCAAAGATCATTGGCACGGCTGTTCCGAAATCTCGAAATCCCATTTTGTGGCGTCCTGACATAGTGGTCAGCTGATGAACAATGTTTCTCACCAATTTGATTTCATTTGATCTTTCCAGAAATATACCCGCCTGATACAATGCAGGCTGAAAGGAAATACACGCGAGGTATTGTGTCAGCCTCCAATACCTAAACGAGCAACTTCGAGAACGGTTGCATTCCTAAGCGAGGTGAGAACCGCGAGAAGTTTGTTGCTGAGGTTGCGTCTCGTATCCGACAGGCTCGTTCGATCTCGAGCCCGAAAAGGATAATTGGGCTGAATATCAATTATCATTCTAGCTCGCGGGTAAATATGTGTCCCTCTCGGACACGAATATAAATGTACGAGATCGACAGCGACCTGAAGATTAAACTACGATCTTCACCACTGTTCTATCGAACCTCAACAAAAAGGTCTACATACCACCAAGTAACCAAAATTAGAACCTCATCCTTCCTCCACACTCTATTCGACAGAAAACCCAAAATGAAAGGGCTCCTTGCTTTGTTCCTGGTGGCCCTGGTCGTAGCTACCCCCTTGGGTCCCACTGGAGCCTCTGACACCCCTGATCCAAAGGAAATCCAGATCGCCAGCGCAAGTTTCTCAGGAAGTGGTTGCCCCCAAGGCTCCGTTTCGACCACAATCTCCCCAGACCGTACAGTCATCACCTTCGGCTTCGACAAGTTCCAAACCTACATTGGACCGGGACTCTCAGTTGCCGAACGCTCCAAGAACTGCGCTCTCCATCTCAGTCTTAAGTATCCAGGCGGTTTTCAGTTCGCTCTTGTGGACAGCACATACCATGGATACGCTCAGCTTGAGGATGGGGTCACCGGAACATTCTATTCGACGTACTTCTTCTCCCAAGACGCCGCAGCCACTTCTACAACGCAGACCTCCATCGCCGGAGGGGGTATTTGGCTGGACGGCCAGGTCTATACCAAGCAAGACACCATTCCTACCGCGGCTCTCATCTATTCGCCTTGTGGTGCAACTGGCATTCTCAACGTCAATAATCGAATTGCTCTTACGTCCAAGAACCCACAGGCCTATGGCTCGATCACCGACGATGATGCCACAGTAGCTTTTACCCAACAGATCAATATCAAGTGGCTGCCTTGCAAGAAGTAGAGTAAACCTCGAAAGTCACTCTCTAGGAAAGCCATCAGAACGTTTCTGCTCGGCGACGAAAACAGTTATCGCGCACCCCCTATGTGAAGTCGAACAATGACAGAAGAAGTATGAGAACGTGTATGAGATTGTCGTGTTGGCGAGGGGGGAGATTCCGAATCATTCAAGCTCAGGAAGAGATTTTGATTAACAATTCTCCCTATCATTGGTCTGTCCGCCCCCTTTTCAATGCGCTGTTCTGATCTTCTTCCGCCTTCAATTCTAAGTTTAGATCAACCAACAAAATACAAGCTAGCCTTTCACGATGCTCCGTTGTTGCAAACTCACAGCTTACACCCTACGTCAAACTACATCATAGAATCAAGATGCAAGAATATCACCCCTTGATTGGGTTGTGGGTAATTGTACATAGTGGTTACTCTTGAGTACGTAGTCAGTTCATGGGCTGTGGATCAAAGTTCCGAAAAATTGTCAAACACTGAGAGGTTTCAAAGGCATGAGAAGGACTCAAGGGGCACCCGCCAGACAAACGTGATAGAAAACCCTAGATCAATGACCACAACCAGTACAGCAGTTTTGCTGGTTTTGTTGTCTTCGCCGTTCATGTAGACTCGCTTGAGAACTGAGTCTTAGAAACCGAGCAGCGCCTCGGACGTGATCAGAATGTACAGGAAAGTCACATCGTTCAACTGGAAAAGGTACCTCCAATGGCTTCTGAGTCAATGTAGGTCCCCCAAGAAGCCTACTATCTTCACGGCCTGTGATAGAACGATGATTCCCGGGAGGGTTGCTCTTCCAGACCTGCGGTGATCTCCCCGGCTTCCTCCACTCAATGCAGGCCTGTTACAGGAACCCCCGCAATAGCTAAGCTTTTGTCCCGCTGCTCCGCACCCCATGATTTGCGCCGCTAAGTACCTAAGCCCACCGTTTAGTGGAGCATTAAGGCCCATCATATCAGCTGAAGCCCCTGAGGCGCATCAATGCAGCCTTCTGTCAGTGCGACCATTCCATTCTGGCCGGATCCGACCCACACGGCGAAGCAACCTATTCTGTGAATCAAGGGCATCGGTTCTCCCCCCATGAGGCTGCAGTGTTAATCGCATTCCAACCTATCAGTGACGAAGCGACTGAACTAGCGGCTTCAACATCGTGGGCACGTTTCAACGCGAGCTTCGCAAGAGCCACTCATCTCGGGGAAGGAGAAAGGTTGCTAAGTGCTCTACAGGCAAAGGCATTGATTCATTGAGTGCAAATATCATGTTCATCAAGCGATGGCTGAAGATGCGCCGGCTCTAATCGAGTGTGACTGATCAAAGAAGTGTAGATATGAACAAAATATTACAAGTAATGATACCGGGCACCTTGCTGCATTTGGCCCCAAAAACTATTTGCAACGTAACGGTTGAAAGAGACTGCAGGCGCCCACCGCTGCGCTCGGATCCCGAGCTGTGTAGCCCCTTTTCATCGCACTAACATGAGCTGTATGGCTATCTACCTTTAATGTGACCTACATGAAACTTCTCCTCGAGGAGTTGATAGCAAGGCAAAGGAGAATGCGACTCTAGTCCATGCCCAATATAACATGCTATGCTCGCCTCTAAAAAAAAATGCAACTTCACTTGGTGGTGTACGGATAAGTACTCAATAGCTATCAGTGGTAGCAGGGTTTGAGAATCATGTGTCGTGACCCCAGCAACGCATTCTCATTCGCTCATCTAATCATATCTCTGGAACGATAAACTCAGCCAACCGGTCGTTTTCGGCATCCCTGGAATTGATTCGGGGTCTGTCCCTGGCTCATGTCAGCGAACAGTAAGTTTATACGTGCTCACGTCAGTTGAATTGTAGGCCGGACCTTCTTCGTTCAGCTGAGTTTGGAAGAGTTTGGATGTATGGAGTCACTGGACAGTCAAAAATGCGATCACAGGCTGTCCTTGGCGTAAGATTCCTATGCTACATAACTTCAACGAGGCTCCAATTTGACTTGAGGTAATGAGGTTTGAACAAAGCGTTCTTACTCGCGCTAAGTAAGCGGCCAGGAATGTAAACATATGCGAAGTCAACTTATTAAGATCCAACGATGTTTCCAACAACGGGCTCCCATCACAACTATTTTGGGGCCTTTAGCGAATAACACTGATAGGGGCTAGATGAGTAGGTAGTGTTCCTGCTAGCCTACTACTAGCTGGCTCGAATCGCAGTTCGAACGCTACATGTAATGAGACGCAGCACGAATAAAATTTCCTGGCTAGAAGTTGGAACGTTGAAGCCAGTCGGATGATTGTATCGAGAAATGGAGTTCGGTCCTATTAAGAGCCACCCTGGAAAACATTCCTCTAAATAAATCTCAACCAGGATCTGTCTCATGTTGTGAAGCAACCTGGCGTCGGGTATTGGAACGTCCATTTCCAGTGCGTCTTGAAGAGGCGGCAAGTGATCAAGACTGACATCATCAGACGGCAAACCAGGCGAGCAGGATGGCCCGTCCTGTTCACAGCAATCTCGAACTGCTGGGAACCCCCACACACATACATGTTTCCTCAGCGGGGCTCATAGCCATATAACTGACTTGCGTTTGTACCGCTCCGAGGCGGGGACTCCCTGTTTCATCTGAAGCTTGAACCAGTCAAGCTCTTTGATCCAAGTCCAAGCCACCTCTGATAGCACTGCTCTATATAACCGTCGGCTACCCCCGTCCCGGGGTTAACCAAACCCACTTTGCGTTTTATCCTTGGCGCAAATGATGGAGATCTCAAGTGCCGATGTGGAGCAAATGTCTTTGCGCAAGCAGTGTTGAGATCTCAAGAGCCATTCTCAGGCTTATCCAGCACCATACTAAATGCCGGAAACCTGTTACTTGACAAGGAAACTACTGCAGAATCGAATGGATCAGGGTCATATCTGTTGTCAGTGGACAGTCAAGCTTTTGCCGTGGCTAAATAAGGAGCCAAACAGACCAAAAGCCAATCATCGACGAAGAGCGCACATCAGAGAACGCACAGTTCTTAATTTGGCATCGGAATACTTTGGAACATCTAGGCGAGGAGGGGATATCCTGGTGGCTTGTTCGCCGCAGCTGGCATCGGAGAGTCACTCGAAGTTTGATGCATGAAATCAGTCATCCCAATGCTTCGCCCCTTCTGGGTAGTAGATCTCGGCTCCTATCATTTTAGGCTATAGTGTCTGACCGCACGGCAAGAAAACCGTTTACGTAGAGATATCTGATAAAAGGCATTGATCTCACCGTCGAAGGGGATGATTCGTTTGATCAGGTGTGTTGTCTCGACCTTTATGACTACATGACGGACTTGTTATTTCTCTTTGCCTTGACGACTCTTCAGACTTCTTTCCGTAAAGGCATACGCAGTGGCAGTAATCACCATGAAATTCATCCAGAACGCCAAGTCTGATTTCCAGACAGACAGCACCATCAATACAATTCGGAGAAAGGTGGCCTCAGGACTACCGAGATTGCCCCAAACAACTGGGCAGTATCTCATCGAAAAAGTTCCGATTGTTCAATGGCTTCCGCAGTACCACCCAAAATGGCTTCTGTCCGATTTCATTGCAGGAATGACGATTGGTGTTATGATGATCCCCCAAGCCTTGGCATATGCAAAGATAGCCACCATCCCTGGGGAATTTGGTCTCTACTCTAGTTGGTTACCAGCTGCCATCTACGTCTTCATGGGAACTTCGAAAGGTGAGTGCGAGCGTTAACGGTTAACATGCCCAGGAGTAACCATTTTCTAACCTTGATCTAGATCTCTCCACCGGGCCGACTTCCATCATGGGTCTTCTTACCGCAGAGATCATCACCGACCTCAAGACGGAAGGATTCGCTGCACAAGACATCTCGTCCGCAGTCGCCTTGATGGTCGGCATATACTCTCTCATTCTTGGACTGCTAAAACTCGGTTTCATCTTGGAATATATTTCCGTCCCCGTTTTGTCCGGGTTCCTGTCTGCAGCTGCCATTACGATCCTTTTAGGCCAGGTTGGCTCGCTTGTGGGCCTAAGCGATGTTCCCTCAGGCACCTCGGCCATCATCAGTAACGTTCTCTCACGCATACCGGAAATGGAGCCTCTTACTATCGCTATTGGTTTCAGTGGAATTTTGATGCTGTACATCCTCGAATTCATTGGAAAGAAGTGGGGGAAGAAGAGCGCAGCAATAAAATTCGCCTGCAGCAGCCGTGCGGTTATTCTTTTGCTCATCTACACGACAATCAGTTTCTTGGTCAACAAGGACCGAGAAGACCCCTTGTGGGCCATCAGCAAGGTCAAGGCAAACGGTCTTCAAGCGCCAAAGATTCCTGCCGGAGACCTCGTCTCTAAGGTTACCACCAGAGCAATTGCCCCTCTTGTAGCTTCAGCCCTTGAGCACTTGGCTATCGGAAAGGCTTTCGGCCGGAAGAACAACTACGCCATCGACGAAAGCCAAGAGCTCTGTTATCTCGGTATCACAAACACTATCAACAGCCTTTTCGGGGCAATGAGCGTAGGCGGTGCGATGTCAAGAACAGCTGTGAACTCAGAGTGTGGTGTCAAAAGTCCGCTCAGCGGCGCATTTACCGCTGGGTTCATTTTACTCACCCTGTATAAGCTTTCAGGGGCTCTCTTCTGGATCCCTAAAGCTACGCTTTCGGCAATTATCGTACGTTGATTCCTGTCCCGTGTCCTAATACCGGCGCGTGCTAACAAACGTATTTCAGATCATGGCCGTTATCCACATCATTGGCCCTGCTTCTGTTTTTTACCGTTACTGGCGTATCTCGTTTATGGACTTTGTGGCGTCGATGCTATCCTTCTGGGTCACGCTCTTTGTGTCTACAGAAATGGGCATTGCTTTCGCGGTGCTTTTCAGCATAGGATACACTCTGGTCAGATCCGCATTCCCCAAAGTCAAGACGTTCTCAGCAACAAGTGGCAATAACCGCATTATTCAGCGAGAACACACATCTGTGCCCTCTGTTGTGGAAGACACGTTCGTTCCCGAAGACGCCATGTTGGTCAGTTTCACGGATTCGATCTTCTTCCCCAACGCTGGCCGTATCAAGAAGTCGGTGCTCGAGTCCGTCAAAGTACAATTTGAACGACAAGAGGTTGGAGATCAAGCACAGAGCAAGTCTGCCGACAGATCTTGGAGTGTCTCATCGTCCAAACGCATCGAAATGTTGCGGAAGCGCGACAACGTCATGCCCTCGAGCAAGCAGATGGCTGTGATGGTCTGGGACCTAACGCATGTGCCCTTCATCGACGTCACCGGAGTCCAAACGCTTTCCGAGTTAAAGGAAGAAACGAAACAGCATGTAGGAAAACAAATGTCACTAAGGATAGTAGGAATGAACAGCAAAGCCCGTCGCAGATTCTCTCGCGCTGGATGGCAGATTGTTCAGGATCGTGAGGTTGACGATTCAACCCCAGAACACGCCGACGTTGCATACGAGACGATGAAAGCAGCATTGTGGGATAGAGAGTATGAAGACAAGGGCGAAAAGTCAGAACTTCAGGGAAGAGCATACTACAGCCCTCGGGAAGGATTCCCATAGCGCTGAGCCGGATACAGAGCCAGGTACATACGTCGATGCTCGAGGTTTCCACGGAGGAAAAGCGAGTTTAGTAACAGTGCTCTGTTTTGGTGGCTGTTCCTTGTTATTTTAGTTCCTTTCATTTCGTTGAGGAGACTCAGGATTGCATGCTTGGGAAATTTGACCTCTGGGAAACATGATAGGGAGCCCTGGTGGCACCTTCAATGCGCACAGCAGAAACTTCAACATACATAACAAAAAAAAAAACCAACGATCTGATTAATAATTTTGTTTCCTTGAATTAAAGAGATATTTGCCAGTCTCCAAAGCTAAATTGATCTATTTGTTACTTTGCCTACTCATACAAGTCTAATGACGCTTTGCAGGAGGTTTATGTCGTCAAGCCTACGAGTTTGACGAAGGACCCCAAACTAACCTAAAGCTTGAGCAGCTTCTTCTTCATTACGTCGCATCATTCGTTTACCGAGTCGTTCTTGTAGGTTTTTGACAGCTGTGGCCCTGGCTGTCCGAGGTGTCTCCGGAGTTGCTGGGCGAGGGCTTTCCTCCGATTGCTTCTTTAGGTTCCTCTTACCGAGCCTATCTTGAAGAGTTCTCACCGCTGCTGCTCTAACTATTCTTGGAGTGGCGGGAGACATCGGCGTAGTTGGAGATGTAGGTCGATGTTCATCCACCTGAGACTGCGTGGCGTTTTCAGTCTCCTGTTGCTTAAGTGCTCGAAGACGCCTAGCGACCTTGGACTGCATTCTGGCAGCTGCCGAAGTCCGAGGTCTCGAAAAGTTGTGCACGTCGGATCTGACGGACCGAACTGTCAACGTAGGGCTCGCAGGCCGCGTAGCTAAGGTGGCTACAGACGGATGTTGGCTCGGCGGGCGCGTGCTTGGCCGTGAGCTGTGTTGAGACGTGACTCGACTATCTGTCCTGTACGGTAGACGCCGAACCTCATGGGAGCTGACACTTGAAATCCTACGCCTCCGACGTCCCTCATTCGGCAATACATCGCTATCGGGCCGGATGCTGTTTGTAATGAAATCCGCTCTAGTAGCGAGAGTTGCTATATGAGGCAGTATGGGAGGATGGTCTGAAATGGACCCGAGACCATACCGAGATGACCTGAATGTTGTCGTAGTGTGTGAGCTTGCCGGCTGGCCAGATTGCATCATCTGTAGATGATAGTTTGCCTCCCAGTCCCCATCTCGAGTAGAAGGCCTGCGGCCTACAAGCCTGTTCTCCTCCTCCATTGTCATCATCGGGGTCAGTGGCCTCCTGGATGGAATATCCAGAAATCGACCATTGATAGGAGGAGATTGCATGCCAATGGCAGTCCATCTTCTAGAATCATATCTCCCTTGCTCTTCAAGCAGAGCCTGACTACGCGGGGAGTATTGAGCATGGCGAGACATAGATGGCAAGATTACTTCGTCAGGACGCGCTGAGGCATCAGTGGATATATCGGAGCCTCCCTGACGTATAATAGCATATTCCCGCCATGTGACCCAGTCGTCCAGTGTCACTACACCGCTTGCTTTTGGTGTCGCGCCATCTCTCGTCGGCGGTTTCCATGCGAATGCATTGGAAAAGACTGGAGAGTCGGGCATCATGGCACCAGGGCGATCCCCGAAAACATTATTCAAGGGCGTGGGCATGGACATACTTCTGGCATGGCGTCTATGTCATACATTAGTCCTTCTTCGTATCGGTAGAAAATGCAAAATTACTCACAAAGCTCTACGTTGAGGCTCATGGGGATTTCTTTTAGTCAGCGTCTTGCGTTTTCGCTTCTCAGGTTTCCCTGATCCGCCATGCTTTTCGACGCGTTTCTCTCGCTTGCCCTGGAGACTCGATGCCATGAAGACAATTCCTGGCTCAAGATCATCCTCGTCAGGACAGGCTAGTGGATCCTCTCCTCGAATGAACCACGTTTGAGAAACGCCCAGAGTCGCGAATGGACGATCTGCCATCTCAATAACTGCAAGCACTGCTGCGAGAGAAAACCTATGAAATTGTCAGCTCCCGGTACCTGGCCTTACGAGCTTCAATTACTCACAGAGAAGATATGCTAATTATGACATTAAGCCATGGGAGATTCTCTTGAACCCCTTTGGAAAGGTCAAGTCCAATATTGACAGCCACAAATATCGACAAAGTGATTGCTGCCACCCAAACCGGGAGACCTAGCCGAGCCAAGAGAAAGGCAAACCCGGCAACGTATTTGCCGTATATAGTTGGAGATCCATAATCCTTGATGTACGCTGTTCGTCCGGCGACTAGATGTGTGAAGACGTAGACCACACTCATGCAGGAAGCGACGAAAAAAACAGCTCTGCTGAGAGGATCGAGAACCTCTGTTGACTCGAGATTTTGGAACAGAACCACAGCTGATAAGGCTATACCAGCACCTGCCGAGATGAACAATAATATTACTGAGAGAAGCGACAGAACGGGATACAATCGATTAGCTTTCTGAGGCGTTGTTGTTTTTGGTGGCAATGTAAGCGGCGGCACTGAAGTCGTCGCGTCCTCATAGTGCTGACTCATTAGTACTCGATTCCATCAACACGACTCAAGTGTGTATTTCAATGTCGCCCAGTATTTGGAGTGAGAAGATTCGGATTGATCGGCTGCCACTGGTGATCGAGTCTACCCAGCAGCGTCGAGAAGCGCGATCACACAAGGCAGAGTTGCCTGAACCCCAACGGTGACATTGAAACCTTGTACGGGGCGTAATATTCTTCGGTGAGTGTGACTTGAGGTGTAGCTGGACAGCGGAAGAGAGCAGTTTTGTTTGTACATGTTACACAAATTAGCCTTGAGCCGTCTGAGTTTCTGGAGTGAGCATGACGTGTCTCCTCGTTCAGACTCGAAAGCAATAGCACAATCCGAAGTTGCTGAGGTTCCATCCCCCGGCAATCTAGCCGACGCATGGATGCCGACTGAGTCTCTTTGTGTGTGATCGGTTCTCATCTGATGTCTGCACCGGCATGTGAAACATTGCGATGGCCGAAGTGGCCCAAACTCGCGTCCAGCAAATAGGCTGCGCATAGACTGGAGAACGTTTCGGGTATCCGGATCGAACGCTGCAACGAATAATTTGATTAAATTTTTCGTCTCCTCCCATCTTCTCATTTAAGCCGGCCGCCTCGGTATGGCCGTTGGTGAGACGAACCTGAAGTACCCTACACTGGGCACCTTTTGCCTTCAGTTGAATTCAATGGTTTCAAGGTTTTCTTTGATCGCGTTCACAGGGGCCGATTCGACGGGTTTCAAAACACTCGAAGATGAGACTTTCATACGCCAGGCTTGCTAGAAGCTTAGCACGTTATTGAGACAGAGAAAAATGCAATTAACCTACAAAAGCATTGGAAAGCCAAGCAAGGAGCCGAGTCGGCCAAGACTTGCTCTCTCCGGAATGGTCCCAGAACAGTCAAGCTCAGTGAATCTAGCTATTGTCCCCACTCGTAGGCCTGCGTTGTTACATTGACGGCGGCCCACGTGCCTTACACAATTGATGTATCAAGCGCGTGTCAAAACCTGCCCCTAAGCTTCGTGCATGCCCGTATCATTCACTCTTACTTTCTCAATTGCCTCTGAGCGAACAAAACGTTGCCGAGAATGGTCAATTTTATGAATCAGGTTTGACGAGAGATTACTCAAAAAGGTGGTGGTTGGGTTAAAAAAATTGTAAAGAACAGCCGCTTTCCTCGCTTCCTAACCCTGTGACTCCAAGAGTCTATACATTACCATGTCCGCACCTCTTACCTAGCGTTCAAATGAAATTTCTAGGCTATGTCAGTGGTCGCACTGGGCCATGAACTGCCCAAAATCCATTGTATATAGCCTGAAGGAAGGCTCTCCTTGATAACCACCAGCCTTTGTATCCCCAGCGCACTGAAAAAGGTTCATTCCCCCGGCGCCAGTCTTCGTGGATGGCTGTGATAGACTGACAGTCCTCGCGTCCCCGACCGCCGCCAGCGATATCTGCTTGATTACCACTGCATACCTCCAAGCCTCAGAGGTACACGAAGCATGCGGTGCCCAGAAGCCGTTGGTTGTGGGAGTTTACCAGCCCGTATGTTTGTTTGCAGAGACTGGTGGAGCAGCTTTGGCTCACCAAGCTTAGCATCGCGCTCTTTGCGCTGCGCAACGAATTCTTCCTCGGTGATACCGTCCCGCAAATGTTTGTTTAGCTTTCTGTGGTCGCTGACTGTCATCCATGGCACCGGGCCTTCTCGATCGTCCGGGGGATAGTCATGGCCTGTCCAGACTTTGACATGATCTGGAAGGCTAAGAAGCCTGCGGCCCGAGTGGTAAAGGTTGCTCGCGCTTCCACCAGGAAAGTCACAACGAGCAGTCCCAATGTCGACGTGGAAAAGGGAGTCACCGCAGAACACGTTGTCTTGTCAAGAAGATCAGCAAAAGCAAGTGCGATAACGGGGCGTTGTGAGGGCCTGACCTCCGATCTTATAACCCAAATGGTCGGGCGTGTGCCCGGGGAGATGGATGGCAATCGCGCTCAGGTTACCAATGCTGAAACTTTCGTCGTCTTCGAAGAGTTTATCAAAAACACCATGGCGCTCTTCGCTGGGCACATCATATCGTTGACCGAAGAGATCTTGTACCTGTCCAATTCGTCGCCCAATTCCAATCAGTGGCTTACTGCCACGCTCCTCTGCGATGCGCTTTTGAAGATACGAGGCTGCAGTGAGATGATCTGCATGCGCATGAGTTTCAAGAATCCGCAACACTCGGTAGCCCTTTTCTTTGACTAGCTGAAGCAACTCATCAGCTGAGGTTGTGGTGATAACTTGAGTTGTCCGGTCATAATCCAAGACCGGGTCAATGATGACGGCCGCTTTCGTCGCTGGGTCTGCAACAATGTACTGCCAGGTTCCTGTCCTTGACTCGAAGATATCGTGAATGACAGGTTGCGTAATATCGACAGGTGCTGTACTATATGAGCGCCGGGTGGGCGGACTTATCGCATTGGGAATACTCCATCGTTTCGATGATGGCATTGAAAGACCGACCCTTGGTAATATGTCATGACGACGTGCAGTGAAGACACCTGGATGTACGGCCCCGGTTGTTCCAGTGCCATGCACAGCACGCAGCTGAATGCTGCCACTTCCTCGGGTAAGTGGTGATTTTGCAATCCCTGGCACCGTAGACAGACAGGTTAATTTAACTTGTTTATTGACACACGCGCGCGCGGGATTCATGGTGAAAGTTGAGTCGAGACGGTGAAGGAGAGAGCGAGTGGAGTATGGCGATGCAGGGTGATGGAGGCAATGATGCAACTAAGAGTCGGAGGATGCACAATGTAGATGGACCGAGTGGTGAGGTTATCTGCTGAAACCTTTAATACTGGGAGCAGCCGAGAGAAAGTTTAAACATCGAACGACACCCCCACTACATGCCGGTGCCTCCCGTGCCGGTCGGGGAGTTGTAAATGAATTCGGCGACCATTCTCGCCGACTGGTCTCGCCGACAAGCCGGCCGGCCGGTGCGGCTCTTTCTATGAAGAAACACCAACTGTACGTCAAGGCCGGGAATAAGCAAATTTTCTTTTAGAAGGAAGCGTACTCCGTACGGTCGCGGCTATCGGGGGATGCTCGGCGCGGCTTGCAAACCTGATATTTTAACTCGTCCGTTGAGTCAGCAGTGGAGTATGGGACCCACACCTCTTTTTAAGCTTCGGCGTTTTCATTTTCCAGTCGGCGCACCCCGTTTCTTTCTCAGGCGCTGTACTTACCTTACTTGAGGTGGCTCATCCCTCTGCTTTATCATCACGACTTATCGTGGTCCAATCCTTCCCAAAAAGTAACGCCATCACCTGTTCTGCAAAGTTTTCACATCAAGCCTTCTTCATTCACGCCAAGATGCTTGCCAGTCGCGTGACTTTGGCATCTCGCCATGGCAGCCGCGCCCAATTTGCTGCAAAGACTCCCGATATCCGGAAACTTGCGACAGTAGCCCCCGTGAGCTCTGCTGCTCGGAACCATAAGGTTGTTGTCGTCGGGGGAGGCAGTGCCGGTCTCACTATTAGCCACCAGCTGTTGCGATCTGGTCGATTTTCTCAGGATGACATTGCAGTCGTCGACCCGGCCGAATGGCACCATTATCAACCTGGCTGGACGTTGGTTGGCGGTGGCCTGAAGTCGAAGCAAGAATTGCGAAGGCCACTCGAGAGTCTGGTTGACCCCAAGCTTAAGTTCTACAAGCAGGGAGTGAGCTCTTTCGCACCCGAAGACAACAACATCAAGCTTGGAAATGGCGATAAACTTGGCTATGAGCAGCTCGTTGTCGCTCCCGGTATCAACATCGATTACGGCAGCGTCAAGGGCCTGCCCGAGGCTCTTGCAGACCCGGGCTCTCTTGTGTCTTCTATCTACGGCTATGATACTTGTGACAAGGTCTTCGGCACCTTCGGAAGACTTCAGAAAGGGAATGCAATCTTTACCCAACCTGCCGGCGTGATCAAGTGTGCTGGCGCACCCCAGAAGATCATGTGGCTTGCCCTCGACTACTGGAAGCGTGCAGGCTTGTATGACCCCAATGACCCTGCAAGCTCGCCCATCAAGATCAGCTTCGCCACTGGCCTACCCACTATGTTTGGTGTCCCCAAATACAGCGCAAAGCTTGAAGAATTGCGCAAGGAGAGGGGCGTCGAGGGGCTCTTCCAGCATGATCTCCTTGCCGTGGATGGTAACACAGCCACCTTCGGACGCCCTGATGGAAAAGAGAAGGTCACAAAGCAGTTTGACCTCATGCATGTCGTTCCGAAGATGGGGCCCCATACTTTCGTCAAGAACAGCCCTCTCGCCGATGCCGCTGGCTATGTTAGTGTCGATCAAGCAACAACCCGTCACACCAAATTCCCCAACGTCTGGTCGGCAGGTGATGCATCCAGTCTACCCACCTCTAAGACCGCCGCAGCAATTACATCCCAGGCTCCCATTCTTGTCAGCAACCTGCTGCGGTCTTTGGATGGCGCCGAGCCTCAACCTTCGTACGATGGCTATACGTCATGCCCGATCCCTACCGAATATGGCAAACTTTTGCTTGCCGAGTTCAAGTATGGTGGAGTTCCCAAGGAAACTTTTGGCGATCTTATCGGATTTGATCAAGCAGTTCCCCGACGTGCGTTTTACCACTTGAAGAAGGACTTCTTCCCGTGGGTTTACTATACGTCCATGGTCAAGGGAACTTGGGGTGGACCCAACGGCTGGAGAAACTGATCTCGCAATTTGAGCATGTGTATCATGTACTAGCTATGTATTCCTGAGAGTAGTTTGGCGACAAAAGTCTTGAATCCGCATTCGTTTCTGATCGACCTTAAAGAGCTCTCAATCCTGGCTATGTTGTTCAATTGCCAGATCAATTTCGCTTGCTTACAGCCCCTCCGAGGGCATGCACTATCCCATTAGGTGATAGGCACGGCGTCGGTACATTGGATCGCGAAAACAATCAGGAATATAGTCAATCATGCGTTAATACAGCATTCAAGATTGTTCTATTGCGAGGGATTTCCTTCTCCGAGTTGATCTTAACACTGCTTGTGTCAAGTGACAGCCTGGGCTGGCATTTGCATCGCCGTAGCTTTGCACCGACGTCAAGGCACTTACTGAATCCCGCATGCTCTTCATGTGCGGTGCCCCGCGTTAACGTTACACTCGTACTTTTGTTCGTATGCATTTTTCGCATCCATCTTTTTCGTATTGAACGGCCCGACAGACCTTTGAATATGAATCTACGTGCAAAATCAACGAGTCAAGAAAAAGCTCTATCGGAGGATTCAATCAAGCCTCTCCAAAATGAGTTTGACTGGTTTTGTGTTTTTCCTGGTTGCGATAGCCGAAGCCAATTACTACAACCCTATACTTCCTGGCTTTCACCCCGATCCAAGTTGTATTCATGTCGACGATGCTTTCTTCTGTGTAGCATCTACCTCTACATGGTTTACTGGTGTCCCAGTCTATAGAAGCACGGATATTAGCCACTAGAGGCTTGCTTGCCATGTTCTCAATCGACGCGAGCAGCTTCCATAGCTGGAAAATGCGCCAACTGGTCAAGATGGCCTATTTGCATTAACAATTCGGCATTATGACGAGACCTTTTACGTAACGACTACCTACGTGTCTATCACTTCCTATAAGGACTTCGTTATGCAAAACCTCATATTCTCGACAAATGATCCCTTGAATGCATTATCGTGGAGCATTCCGACTGAATTTAATTTCACTGTTTACGACCCTTCTCTCTTTTTTGACGACGAAAACGATACCGTCTACTTCACTGGGGCCGCTGTATTATTTACTGGTACTGCTATTGTGCTATTAACTATTGATATTGAAACAGGTGCCCTTGGAAATGTCTCGTTTCTATGGAACGGTACCGGCCTGAGTATTATTTAAAGGCGATTTAAGTAGAATCGGCTATATAAACTATAAACTATGATCCGAGCTTTGGAATAATATCGGTTAGAATTAGGACGGTACGATAATTAGTCAGTACTTCTTATTAACTAGAGACTCGGGGTTAGGGTTATATAGGTAGTTATTAGGGTTATTTTACGAAAAAGGGGTACTAATAAGGTAATTAAAGAATAATAGATAGGAAGATTACTTTATACTGCTTATTAATTATTAGAAAATAGGAAGCAGTATTGAATAGCTATAGATAGCTTTATCAAGATTAATAAGAAATATTATATACTTATTTATTAAAAATATAAGGTAACTATCTAACCCGGTAGTAATATCGAGTTATATTTCTACTATAAGTATTAGCTAAAAGGAGAGGTTTTTAGGGATATTAAGGACTATTATAATTACTCGGATCTAGCTAATCTAAAAGTTAATTATTACGATTTCTCGTAGATATTAAGGAGATTTCACTATAATTTCTCCACCACTACGGTAAAAAACCTTATAGTAAAACCCGCAAGAATTCACTAGGAATTCTTAGTAAAAGGCTACTAAATATCACAGAGATTTCCCTAGGATTTCCCCGTAAAATCTCAAGGTATTTCTTAGAGATTTTACCGCAGAGGTATAGTAAAATCTTAAAAGGAACATCTCAATATTATTACTATTTCACCGCATATAAAACGTAACAATTAGTAGTACAACCTCTTTTCTAACAAAATAAGTAATTACTTACTTATAGAAAAGACGAGCTAAATAAATATTAACTCCTTCTATACTAACGGGCTAGCTAAATAAGCGTTAATCCTATTATAAGAATAGGCAAGCTAAGTAAGCATCGACCCTATTTACAATAAAATCACGACAAATAAACGCCAACAACGACGTCAATTTACTTTAAGAATTTAAGAATATTCTAATCCTAGAGAACCAAGATCGAGCCGCCTAGCTAATCGTAGCTTATATATCGAATTACGACCGCCTTAAGTCTATTAATAAGCCGAACTACCGGGTTACTCTAATCTTACAAATCGTAAAAGCCGTACTAATTATATAAAACCCCGGCTAATAAATTAATAAATCCGTATACCTATTTTCTTAGCGATAATAGGGACGATTCCGGGTAATATTTATTACATAGCTAAATAGGGAACCGGTTTATTAAAATCGTATTATTCTTTATTTATAAGATTAGCTACTATTAGAATAGCTTATCTTTATAGAATCGATAAATATAGTAGAAGAAATCCTATCGTACTAGATTCCCCCAGACTTAAGGCCATCACTAAAAGAAATAGAACTTCCCTCTTCCCTACTATTACCGGATCTAGAGCCTCCTCCCGCTTTTAAAAAATAATTAGTATCCAAAGGAAAGTAACTAGAATAAAAAGTCTCCTTTATAATAAAGCCTCTTAACAAACGACACCTTATATTACACTTTATATATGGTAAAATAGTAATAATATTAAAATATCCCTTCTAAAATTTCACTATACCTCCATAGTGAAATCTCTAAGAAATACCTTAAGATTTCACAAAGAAATCCTGGGGAAATCTCCATAATATCTAATAACCTTTCGCTAAAAATTCCTAATAAATTCTCGTAGGTTTTACTATAAGGTCTTTTACTATAATGGCGGAGAAATCACGGTGAAATCTCCCTAATATCTATAAAAAATCGTAACAAATGCCCCTTGCCAAAGAAAACCATTTCGTCTGCAAAATCTATAAAATAATAAAAGTATATTAATTACGCTTTATAAATTATTTACTTACAATATATTAAAATCATAAAAAAGTTACATACATAAACAAGAAATCAAACAGAATAAACAGTTACTTAATTAAACAAAAACCTTAATTCATTAATCTACCGGCTACTTAATATAATTAAAAATAGCATTAACCATACTACTATAATTCCTCTGTATATTCTTAACCGAAATACAGGTTAGATATTACCACCGCCTATCTAACATCGTTAATTATATCGATATTATTAATATTAAGTAGAGCGCCAATATAAACTAGAATAAATTCCTCTTTATTAATATACTCGACAAGCTTATCCAGGTTCAAATTAAAAAGCTAGGACCAGCTATAATACTACGTATATATATAAACGGCACCGGTAATAAAATAAAGGTCTTTGGCCGATCTATTTTTAACTACGTTAATAAGGGTAGTCTCATAAACTATAATATAACCCTTATAAGCTTTAGCATCCGTCTTAATAAAACGAGTAATATTCACTAAGATCTTTAAATTATAAAAAATCTAATTTAAAAAAAGTCTATTTATAAGTTTATTATTAGCCACCAACAAACTAATAATAGTATAGAGAATAGCGATTACGTAGAGAACATCAATAATTCCCTCTCCCTCATAAACGAACGTATAAAGACCAGGGCTCTAATTAATTACATCGACCGGGCCAACATCGGGGAGGCTAATAAAGAGCTATTTAAACATATACTTATAAAACGTACAGTTATTCGTAAAGCGCATAATACAGTCTTAAAACGCCATAGCAAAAGCAAAGGTTTTACTAAACTAAGTATTCGTAAAAATAATATAGGCGGCTATAAACAGGTTATATATAGTGAGTTCATCCTTATACAGCATATAGCACACCTTAATCAGGGTTTTAATAACTTCATTATTATTAAAAAGCTCGATAACGCTATACTTATTAATAATTAAAAAACAGGTCTCGTTAACTATATCGTTAATTCAGCATAGTATAATCTCTAAACCACTTATAACGAAATTAAAAATAAATATATCGAATACCTCTTTTAAATAGGCATATACATTTAAGTACTAAATATAAGTAATCGTTATCGCCTTATAAAACTCCTCTTTCTTTATATTACTGCAAATATAGTCCTTAGCTAGGCTATACGTAACCTTAATAAACTCTAAGCCTTTATAAGCTTTTCTAACTATCTTATGCTCTTTAACAGTACTTATAATACTGGACATATAGTTAGTGTATAACGCCGGGATAACTAAGCAGTTTATCTTATACGTATTAAGAGTCTGAATAAATTATCCTCAGTTATTATAAGGCTAGCTACTAAGCATAATTATAGATTCGTCATTAAAATAAGCAAAATCGTTAGAAGTTTAAAAATTATACTTAAAAATATTAACTATATCTTTAATATTCACAAGAATATCTTAATAAAAATCGTTACCTAGGATTAGCGCAGGGGTCTAAAGTATAAGACATTAGACCCAACCTTTATTAAACGGTACGTTATAATAAACAATAAAAAGCTATATATTAAAATAGAAAATCTTATGGGCTTCCTCCTCGTTAATAATCTACAAAAACGTTACTTAATTCTAGAAGATCGTAATCTTAAAAGTATTTTCCTAAAAGCGTAAATACCCCTTAATAATAGCAAAATCTCGCAGCTAACGCATAAATACCGAATTCTAAAAAAAAATCTAATATACCTTCTTACTTAACTTAAAATTAGAATTCAATAACTCTTCACCACCATAAATATAAATTACTTAAAAATAGCCATTAAAAATAAAATCGTTTAGCTAGTATCCGTTCTAATAGGTAATATAATAGTATTTATAAAACTAGTAATTGCAGGAGCAATATTCGCTAATAATATTAAAGACTAAATAAAACACCCTAGCTAGAGATATAAAAATGCCTTCAGCAAAATAAAACTTAATATAATTTCGCAATAAAATCACGGATACTAAAAAATAAAATAAAGTATATAATAAGTAAATTATAAAATATAAATACGAGAAAATAAGTAATAAAAATATAATTATAGCAAAAGGTTAGTTACCTAAAGCGGTCCCTCGATTTTAAATATAAATCGACAACCGTCCGATCTTAAATAAAAACTATATATTCTTATAAAAGTAAATAATCTCCTTAATACCTTATTTGCTAATATTAAAGCGACGAAAGGCCGTTATATTATTAATAAAAGCTCATTAATTAACGGCTAATCGTTATAAATAGCGAGGACTTTCTTTAATAATTACCCCTCTTTAATTAAGAACGTATATTATAATTACTCTTTAATTTCCCTATAATATTACAAAAAAATTATTCTAATCTTACTATAATAAAACCCTTTCTACTCGATATAAGTGGACTATACCCCTTTATTTATAAGGCCTACCGTACC